CACACACACATAAACAACATAAAAATGGGATCTGATTTCTCAATAAAAAATTAAATGTACTTCCAATATACAAAGTCATTGACAATTTTTCACAAAAGATGATCAATTCAAAATGTTTCTTTACCAACTATGATTTCTTATTCAAGCTAGTTAGAGCTTCTACACGATTTGAATCTGCCTGAACCCTTTTAAGACACAAAGAGTGTAACGAGTTTAAAAGTTGAAGATGCAAGTAGGTGTAGGTGTTAAGTTTAAATAACCAAACATGTTCATACTACGTTTTGAAATAAATGTAGCATATATTAACAAACGTTTCATGGAGCAGGCTAAACTTATAATTTCATTTTTCCAGTCTGAGTTGCTCCGGCAAGCACTGTTCAACTGCGACTGGACAGATAAGCCTCACAGTTTGAGGCGAGGACTTCTCATCATGCAGATCATGGCTTCTAGACCTCTCAAACTGACCATTGGTGGCATCTACAACCTCGGTATGGAGACATACGGCAATGTGAGTTAATTTGTAGTCTTCTTGAAAATAAAACAGTTGTTTTGAAAATAGTCGCCCGAGACTATACTAGGATTGACAATATAAGTGTAAGGTATATAAACCTATTTTATATTGTGATCAATTAATCCTGGAGGCAATGCTGGATAAACAAATATCTGGTAACTAAATAGTTGCCAATTGTTTACAGTTATGTTCATGTTATTAATTTAATAAATTATTTGTGATAGCCTATAGTACGAATGTTTGATAATTTACTTTTTTCATATTGTTTAGGTGCAGTGGTAGAGCATTATGACAATGGTAGATGTGTTATATACTATAGAACTAGAATACCGTAAATTTAAAGAACCAAATTTTCTCAAACCGTGTCCTCCCCCATTGCAAACGCAGAGCACGAGTAACTGAAATAAGAATTTTATAGACCTATTGTATGAAGGACAGGTAGGTACCTACTCTGCTAATAATCTTAAAGATTTAAAAATACCCCCGCCGCAGCAAACCTGCCGACTAAGCGAATTTCCATTTCTCTGAATGATTTTCAATTAAATCTATTTAAATAACATTGGGTTTAACGAGTACCTAGGTTTGCTGCCACAAGGAAACTAAAACTAATTTTTATAAAATAGTTACTTGTTTTGACTTTTTATAGTAACAAAACATTCCTCACACTGCTTACACTTAACAAAACTTCTCAAATGTTATTAAAGTAATATTATTAAAATAATTAAAGTAATATTTACATTTAAAGAATTAATTAAATAAGAACGCCTTCGCAAAGAAAACGCAACTACAACACGCTTCTGTATTGCGGGTTTTGCATTGACTTTCTGCAGGCGTTTTAATTTTTTTTTTTTTTAATTCTCGTCTCCATAAAAATCCCGGCCAAAAAGAAATCTCGTCTCGTGTAACGAGATTTAAAATTTCCCGAAAATTTCCCAAAGTTTCGAGACTTGACCATCCCTACTAATAAAGTGTGTTTTAGTAAAATATTAATAGCTTAGTATAAAATAAATAAATTTGCCAAGTTTGATCAAAATATATCCATAAACAAACAAACTACAACATTTTCAATATTCTCCATAAGAATAACATGGGAATTTTTCATTTACAATTTTTTGAATTTTCTCCGTTACCAATAACCGTACAAAAACACTTTGATATACTAAATTATTTGTTTTTTTAAGCTCTTTAATATGGTCTAGAGATAAATTGGGAAATTTTGTGTTTTAGGAGTCAAAAATGAGAAAACCCAATTTTTAAACCCATAAAACCCCCCGTAAAACCCCGTTCCCATGGTCCGATCATGCTGGTTCGTGAACTCATTCAAGTTTATCCCGCCTTACACCTTTAAACCAAATTTCATCCAAATCGGACAAAAATTACTCATGTTATCGTGCGGATGGAGACACATATATATAGATATATATATACAAATTTGAACGAATGGTGTTTTTGGCCTCTGGGGACATCAAAATGAAAAAGTTAATTTGGTCCCGGGCCTAGGTCTTACCATGAGACCTACGGTAATAGCTACTTCCCTATAGGGAAATTCGCTAAAATTCAAGCACAGATTTCACATCAAGCATCGGCATATATTTATCTACAGTCCCACTCGACTTAAACGTAAACAAAAAATGCTCCCCATGCATTTCTTATGGGAGTTAAATTTGGTTTTTCTTTTCCGAGTTCCTTTATGGCTCTTCTACCCGACCTATTTTTATGATTGAGGTCTCAAATTGAAGGTATGCACGCACAGATTTGCCATCAAGCATCGGCATAAAATTATCTATAGTCTGACTCGGTTTATACGTAAACAAAATTTGCTCTCCATGTATTTCTTATGGGAGTTAAATTTGGTTTCTCTTTTCCGAGTTCGTTTGGCTCTTCTATTTCACCAGTATTTCACTGTATTTCACCAGTTATAATTATATAGGCTAATCCTATATATTTTGGTCTAAGACACTTCAGTGAAATCCCGGCTTACATTTGAGCTATTAGTGATTCAAATCGGACGAGTTTCAAGCAAATGCAAGGTGAACAACCAACATATAAATTATTATTCATAAGGTATTTCTATGATTAAAAATCAATAGCTCCAGTATTATTTACTTTTCATTATACGTTTTAGATTCAAAATAATCAGGAAATTATAGGCTTTAATTAGAATTATTGATCGTTTGCTCAATAGCTTGATAGCTCAAGATACTGTATTCAGTGGCAGATCTAGAACAGTCACAAGGGGGGGGGGGCGAACCAGGGGGTCTGGGGGGTTCGGGGGTACCCTCCCAAAAAAATTGGTGTAAACTATAAGTCTCCAAAATGGCAGTTTTATACAATTTCTTTGTCCAAAGTTAGCATGACAAATTATTATTTGCCATGTGTATGCACTACTGTATTACATGAAGTAAAAAATATATGCATATGTATGCCCGAGGGGGGGGGACGGTCGCCCCCTTTGCCCCCACCCCTCTGGATCCGCCACTGACTGTATTACTCAATCAAATATTTGATTATTTCTCGGATATGATATTTATTTCAACGCTGAGGAGCAGCATGGGTCCTCTATATTTTAATATACTAAACATATGTATTTTTTCAGGTTATTTCAGCCCTATATTCATACATCAGTTTGATGCAATCTCTTCACTAATTATATCAACATCTACTTCATTTTGAGAACGAAGATGATTGCTGCTTGGTTTAATAAATAAATATATAAAATATTTTATCTCATATTGCACTTTAGATTGTTGAAAATAAACAAATGTTTGCTTGCTGTACTAAGGAAATCTTGAAGTTTTCCTCTATATTGTGGTTGACCCTACTCTGTGTCTGAAATACCCCTTCCACAACAAACCTGCAGACCAAGTGAATTTCAATTTGTCTGATTGGGTTGTTAATAAAACATTTCCGATTTCCATAATCAAGACATCTTTGCTCCTCATTGAAATAACATTAGATTAAACTATTACAAGATCTGCTGCCAAAAACGTTTTTCCACCAAATTTTAATACTGTAGTATAGAATGAAATAAAAATTTGCCAAATTTGATCAACATCTATAAACAAGCGAACTATAGCAGCAGTGGCAGTTCCGGGGGGGGGGGGGAAGAACACAGGAGCTAAAGCCCCCCCCCCCCCATTGGACCCTACAAGAATTAATTTAAACATACATTTCGTCCTTATAACACGCAATATTATAAAACAGACAGCAATGTAGTTTTTACCAAATTAAATAAGCAATAGTAGGATTAGTATAAAGCCCCACACAGATAAGCTTTGTGGGACAATAGCACGACAAATAAAACAATATTAGGCCTACGCTATGCAAAGTTGTAGTTTATATAGTCAATGGTTGTACGCATCATCCGATTTTTCCAGCAGTCAGCGTGACAGCGAGGACGGGTAAACAGCTGATTTTATGTTCCAAGTTGTCTGCTAGCTACTATAACTAACACAGTCATCAGCGGTAGCGCCAGTAGCCTATAATTTGACACTATATCGTGGGTTGTCTACTGTGACTAGTTTATAGCTGCTATTGACTAGTTTAAAAACATTTCATGTAGTAAGGAAACTGTGACAGATCTATGCAATGGAGAGAAATATAAGGTACTTGCTTGAATGACATATAACAGGTGAAATGGGACATAAAACCCCTCGATAAACCCAGTTCCCATGGTCCGATCATGCTGGTTTGCAAACTCATTCAAGTTTCACCTTCAAACCACATTTTATCAAAATCGGGCAAAAATTACCTAAGTTATTGTCTGATGTATGGATAGATATATATAGTATATGTATACCTATATATAAATTTGAACAAATGGTGTTTTTGGCCTCTGGGGACATCAAAATTAAAAAGAAATTGTGAAAATCTGATTATTATGGGTGAAATTAAAAATAAAATTTCAAAACTCATTAAAGAACCATGGATTAGTACCTTTTTTGTTCTTTTCTGCGCCATTGGTATTTTTTATTTTTTAGAGGTGATGAAAGAGAGAGCAATATTCAAAAGCATTAAGGGAAAGCGGTCCAAACCCAAATGCTTTGTGGGCGTGCCAAGAATGAAGCCCGTCCCTCCCACACCTAACCAGAGTGCAACCAGAGTGCAAGCGGAATCAGATCAAGATTTTCGGCGCTTGGATAATCTGAGTCAGATGTTTTGTTGGTGGCCACAGTGGAAGCAGGAAACACGCCGCCAGTACTGACTCGGTTAGCAAGGAAACAAGTCAGTCGTTGTTATGGAATCGTCGAATGAGGAATCAACGTGTAAAATTATAGCGTCTGAAACTGTTGTGAAGTTACAGCCAGTGAAGTTACAGCAAATCCCCCCCCCCCTCTGAATTGGTATTCTTGTACCAAATTTAATCTAAATCGAACCACAACTGTAGTCTGTTGCTACAAATACACACAACATAACACACAAACATAACTTTGAAAACCACTTTTTTAGTTCAAGGTCTTTTTTTAACCAAACAGTCTCAGAGTATTACCTCCAACACTTGCTCCCCACAGCTGTCACGTCCAGCGGAGTGTAACGGTTTTGCAGGATGTGAAGATGCCTCAGTCGAATCTCTCCTAGCAAGTAGATCACTTCTGCTCCCAAGTTCTGCGGACTAATCTCTAGCACCTGTAAGAAATAAATAATGTCTATAACAGGATGATATACCCCATAACATTTTGTCACTTTTAAAAATGTCACATCTTTCACTCTCAAAAAGGCTATGCTTTAATTTTATCATATGGTAGGAAAACTGCTACACTTTACGATAATTACTTGTTTTTAGAAAACTAGTAAATTTAAGTGTTTGTCAGATCAGTGGTTGAGCAGTTGAAAAGACGTTCCGCTAAAGCATGGTATTGCATTTGGAATGTCGGATTGTATCTTGAGAATAAAATTATACAGTCTAACCTTGATATAACGAACCTAGATACAACGAATTCCTTGATATAACGAATTTTTTTAAATCCCCTAGAACTCTCCATAAGACACAATGTATATTTTACCTCTACATAACGAACAAACAATAACAACGACCTTGATTTAACAAATTTTTCATGATTTCTGCTAAAATAAGACACCTCAATATAGCAAATTTATCATTGTCAGAACCTCTACATTGCGAATTTAACCTCTGCATAACGAATTGTCTACGTCTTTCCCTCGATATAACAAATCCCCCACCCCATTATTGTTTTTGAAAAATCTGTTTCTTTATCAAATGAAATCGAAAGGCGACGTCATCGCTTGCGCTAACATTCGTCTGCTCCGTTTTACACAGCTTTGTCTGCTGTCGCTGTGTGCGCTATGTTGCAACTGAGAACTGATTTCATTCACTGAGGACTGAGATGACGACGTAATGTTTAGTAAGCTTTGATTGGGCGATAAGTAACTATGGTGAATCGTACAATTTTTGGATAAAGAGAAACCTAAGAAAGGATATAAAAACAAAACCAAAGAGAAAGAATAGCAACATTGTTATTTTAACATTCCTTTTTCGAGTGTTTTTATTATCTTTAAGTTGGCTATGATTATACACTTTTATAATTACTTATCTAATAATTTATTGTTTTCAATACGATTTGTTTCAACTAGCAACACCAATGCTATATATAGTTAATGATTATTATTGACATTCCTCTGTTGTGATAAATCAGTACCTTACTGTAAGTAGCTTACCGACCTATCACGAGCAGTAGCTTACAAAACTTTCTACTACTGTTTTGTTTTGTTCTTTACATGGTTTGTGACTACGCAATAGTGTTTGGCTAGGTTTTAGGAGGGTTAGAACAAGCTGTGATTTTAAACTTACAGTTTTTTAACCTGTACCAAGGTCAATGCCATTGTCATGATTGCGCAATATTCAAGATCCCTCCCCTTTATTATGCAGGATAATTTAGGTTCTACTGTACACTGTAAACACTGTACTGTAAAGTATTGTAGCCTATGCTACTTTAATTGTGTTTTAATGATGTCTAATCCCGACCTATATTAACCGACGCTGGTTCTGAACCTCAACTTAGCGAAATTCCTGCAAACATAACCTCTATATAACGAACCTCGTTTTAACGAAATCCTTGATATAACGAATATTCAGTTCGGTCCCTTCAGATTCGTTATACTGAGGTTGGACTGTAATTGTATTTCACCATCCAAAAATATGTTGGTCTAAAATAGGGTAAATCATACAGTGAAAAACACAGAAATGTATTACCTTTAAGCATTTGGCGAACGCCCTACCATCGAACCAACTCTGCTGCTCCTTCAAACTCAACATTTTACGTTTCTCATTTTTCAAGTGCTACCGTTTTTTATGAATTTGACAACCAACAATTAAATTGTGTTTGCACTAGGAATAGTGCCAATGCGCAGAATAAAAAACCACTGGTAAATATCCCCTTGCATAGCAGCTACTAAATTGTTGTTTTAAACATTCTATGAGAACTAAAATCGTATGACTGATCGATGACAAAAAGGCCAGACGTGTATGCCTATTACCTACACAGCCGAAGTATACATAATTGAAACTGCTCAGTCAGTTTTCCCTTCTCTGTGTTCAGCATAGATGTAGAGTTGAAGATATCGGATATCCTACTAACTCACTTGTAATATTTTTCAAAAGGACTGTAATCCATCCTCTTGACTTTGACATGCTACCCTCGCTGACGTACTGTGTGCGTGTAAAGCGCCGCTACCATCGGGGACAGATTTTTGAGTCAGTCATGTGCCACACAAGACCTGATTATTGGTGTGAGACATAACATGTATTTTAACAGGCTATGTGCGCTGATGCTAATCCCCAAGCGAAGAAGCTATTAAACCGTTTACAAAGCACATTTTCAGTGCTAAAGGAGCAAATGGTTGTTTCGTTCTGAGATATTTTCAAAATGTTAGTGGTTATTGGAATAATGGGGGCAATGGGTTGTTGGATCACTTTGTATTGCATTAATATCTCTCTTTTGTATTCCAGCATGGATCAACCCTATTTAAACATCGACGCCATCGAATATTGAATTTATCCTTAGGCAATTAACATAAATCTCTTCTGATGAACTTTCGCACTCAACTACACTCCAATACATTATGTTTCAAACATGCAAAAGACATTGTATTCAATTCTGAACAACACGACACATTTCATAAGACACTGTGTACGAGACACCAGCGTGTAGCCTGCTTACACCTCACAAATCCATAATAAGTTTAACGTGTTTGACTGACCTGTAGGTTCAAGAACACCCCCACATGCAGCAGTTGACAAGCAGTCTTGGTAGGGTTGATCAGTTTCAGTCTTTTGAGAGTCTCAGTCTGGTTGCAACACACTTGGTCCAGCAGATACAACGCCTCGTGGTGGTCCAACATCAGGTCGATCAGTTCTAGGTTACGCAGCGACGACAGATTTCCCATCAGCCGCTTCAAAGCCTCTAGTAGTTTGCCTAAAAAAAAACCAATGAAACTATTAGTTAGGCCTATAGAAGAATTTTTTTGTATCCAACCCAGAAAGAGAAAAACACTGTTAAAGGAAAGTAGTACACAAGTAAGCCATTATACTCCATGTTCACCGTGCAGTACATATGGGAGATAGCTGGGACATTTTACTCTCTTTTGTACCATACCTATTGTAGATACGTATTTAAACTCAGTTAAGACAAAGTTAGTATGGTATGGTAAATAATAGTAATGAAAAATTTAAATGTAGCATAGAATTTTTTGGTGTTTTAAAACTAGGTTTGCTGATAGGCCTACTTCCATTTTAAATAAAAGGTGAACCTTTATATTACTGCATGACGAACAGAGAATTGAAGCTAGCAACACATCAAAACTAGTGAGACAAAAAGCAGTTTTTTGACACAAACCATAGTAAACAGCTCACCATTCTAAAATTCCGTCCTGTCTATATTAGCCTATACCGTACTTACTATCAGTAGCAAAAAAAGGACACAATTTTTTTCCCCCAAGAAATCTGGGCAATATTCTGGACAAACCTCACATACACTTGTTGATTTCAATTTGGGCCCTAGAACTATTACAAAAAAAACTTGTTAGCATAATGTTAACTTTACTATTTCACTGAAGTTTTTAAGACCATCATTTCTAGCTTCATGAGAATTTTAAAATTTTAATGGAGACGTCTAAGGCTTTATCTTGGCTTAGGGCTACAATAGTCTACATCTTAGGTTTGATTAGGCCTATTTAGCTACACTTTTTTTACTAGCTCATCAAATAAGGTTTAAGAGATAACAAAATTGGCCATCTTACCTCCATCTGTAGTCTAAAATATCCATCAAGAAGGAAGGATATGACCAAGTTTAGTTTCGATACAAGGACAACATTTTTAATGTGTGCAACAGGACAAATCATCAGAATAAATACCATGACATGTTTTATGCCATGTTTGAACATAACAGAAAACAAAGACATAACAAAAAACCAACAACAATAGCTATCATAATTTATCGGTCCCGGCAACAGCACTATTTATTTATTTCGATGTTTTGTCTTGCTGCTCAGTTGACAAAATTGTGCAATGAAACTGTTCAGTGTCGTGATGACAATTTTGGACCAAGAAAGAAGGTGGGATAACATTTTGTGTCACAAAAGGAGTCCAAAGGCTATGGATTTTTAAAAGGAAAAAAGTAAACTGTGTGCAGTGATGTAGTGGAAGTGAACGCAAGGAAAAACTGTAGGCCTACCCACTTTTGCTTTTTCCACAAATCCTATCTTTTTAGACAATGGTGATCATTACTACATTAGAAAATTCACCACTACACTACTTACCATGTAAAATACTATTACACAAACACTCTGTTCATGGCTATTAATAATGAAAAACTCACCTCCGGTCCCGTAAAGTCTTCTGTTTCTCTGGTGATCTTCCTCTCTTGGGTTCATGTTGCAGGGAAAAGTGTACTTCAGAGTATGGATCAGGGACCCTACGCCCTAGAAACAATAAAAAAAATTATGTAAATCAAAATAGTGGAGTAAAATTACAGTGAGTGGTTCGAATTAATTGCATTTTTGACCCACAATGGAATACATGCCCTTGTCAATTTCTTTAAATGTGACTTGGTCTAGTTAGGATACTGATATAGATTTGCTTGGCTTTTTGCTATTGAAACCAATAAACTTTGGAGCACTAAAGAGAAAATAACACTGTTAACTAAGTCAATAAAACTGTCTGTTGCTTGCAAGAAAAATTAGACCTCATCACCTATCTGCACTATAACCACAGCATGCAAAAAAAAATGTAGGCCTAGGCTTTGTTTTAGTAATAAGTTTTTTCCCAATGCCTGGGAATATCTCTTGCGATCACACTCTTCTTTATACACAATAACCTTAAAAGAAAACCAACAAAACGGTGTTATTAAATGGAAGCTAGGCCATAGTTGGAATTAGTTTTTTTTTCAAATTTCCCGCTTCTCTACAAAGTTTATGTTAAATCTACAGTCTTCTCTCAGTCATCGAAAAATCACGTACAATTTTCAGTTTTCTCGGTTCTTCTGACTTTAATCTTATTTAGAACAAATAGCTTTTTTAAAATTTAAATACTTATTAATTTTTTTTCCACAACAGATGGTCTGGTTTAGGTAGAACTCAGGTGTGGTTGGATTAAGGCAGTCAGCGTCCGTCACTAGTGTGTGAGCACGTGGTTTGCCGAAAGTTTAAAAACTTAAGGGTGGGGTAGGTTGGCAGCAATGACAGTATTGCTGTTCTGCAGAGTTGCCAAAGCGATAGTGATTACCTTTGATTCAAAAATTGAAAAATTCTCATGTCAGTCTTGGGAATACAAAAGTCCTCTTATTCCTACAAAATAGTACGGTTGTATTATTCTGAGGATTTAAACAACAATGTAATTATGCTCGCCCTGTTAGTTTTTTCCCTATTACAACTCTTTACTTGTACCCTTCAATCCATTACAATGATAATGTATTTACAGAGCGTAGGGTAGGTTGGCAGCGCTACATTCAGTCAGACAGAAAATGCCGTTGCATAAAGGGTTCCATTAGATCCTAAGTAAAAAAAAAAACTCCCCGACAGAAAGTTTGTGCTGGTAATTCAGAAAAATCCCTGGACTGTGCCTCACTCAACTCTTAAGAATTACTTAACTTCACCTCTGTATTCTTGAATTTGGCTGGAGGCTCGCGCGCTTGCTTCCTCTGACATTTGCGGCTGAACTAAAGCATGACTCACCTGAGCGGCGAGCGGCGTTTTTGCGAAAATCTATTTTCACTTGGAACCATGACTTGTGACGACAATCATACTGTGGCCACCCTCAACAAATCTACACGCAACCAATTGAGACAAGATAGAGCGGCCGCTCACTGCTCGTATCGTACTCGGGGCCTATAACCGCCATACCTTGACAGTACGACGATCCCTCCCCTGATGTTCTGCGTAGTACGACAACATGTTCATGAACTCATACAGGTTGTAGAAGTTGATCATCGGAGAGAAGACCAACACTCGTATGTGCATTCCGATGCTGCTGAGACACTGTTGGGTCCGTATGTGATCCAAGATGTACTGAAACATGTCACAAAGTTAACTGGGGCTATTGTATTGTTCTCAAAATCCTTACTTTACACAATTCTATACTAGATGAGTTTTGTACAACGCCTTCACACCCGGGAGCGTTATGTAACCCTTCAATTTCGGGCCTTTCTCGTCACACGTAAAGAGACATTGCTACGGTTTGACGAGACTTGTCACTACACAGGTAGGATGTGGCTGGCATCTGACAACAAATCAATGAATAATGTTGTACTGTACCTGTATTGACCTTATTTTTACTGTAGCTGTAGCACAGATCACAGCTGTTCCCAATCGTAGTGAGGTTAACAAAGAATATTTGTTTTCAAATATGAAAACGAAAACCATATAAGTTGATAGTACTATGTTTAAGGTTGTAAATATGGACATAAAGGTCCAGTTGGTAGTTCACGAGGTATTTTAAAATTCTATATTAAAAATGAATTCATGAATTTACTTGTGACTAGCATCAACACTTATGTCGAACAGTAAATAGCAAAGAGGGATGGTTTGGCTGCGTTTGGAAGAAAACTACCATAGCAGGGTTCAGGGAAAGTTTAAATACCCCCGCCGCAGCAAACCTGCCGTCTAAGCGAATTTCCATTTGGCCGAATTGATTTTCAATTGATCTATTTAAATAACATTAGGTTTAACGAGTACCTAGGTTTGCTGCTACAAGGAAACTAATAAAGTAGTGTGTTTTTAGTAAAATATTGATAGCTTACTATAAAATAAATAAATTTGCCAAGTTTGATCAAAATATATCCATAAACAAGCAAACTACAACATTTTACAATATTCTCCATAAGAATAACATGGGAATTTTAAATTTACAATTTTTTTAGTTTTATCCGTAACCAATAACCGTACAAAAACACTTTGATATACTGAATTGTTTGTTTTTTTAAGCTCTTTAAGAAGGTTTAGAGAAAAATTGGGAAATTTTGTGTTTTGAGGGTAAAAAGTGAGAAAAACCAATTTTTACCCCATAAAACCCTGTTCCCATGGTCGGATCATGCTGGATCGCGAACTCATTCAAGTTTATCCCGCCTTACACCTTCAAACCAAATTTCATCAAAATCGGATAAAAATTACTCAAGTTATCGTGTTCACGGACACATATATATATATATAAATCTATATATATATATATACCTATATATATATATATATATACATATATATATATATATATACATATATATATATATATACATATATAAAAATTTGAACGAATGGTTTTTTGGGCTTCTGGGGACATTAAAATGAAAAAGTAAATCGGTCCCGGGCCTAAGTCTTACCATGAGACCTACGGTAATAGCTACTTCCCTATAGGGAAATTCGCTAAAACCTCAATTGGAAGGGCAAAATGATGAATAAGTCCAGCACAAAAAAATCGTTTAGATAGTAGAGGGAAATATGAAATATTTAATCTAGAATACATCTGGAAAGAATGTGGAAAAATAATGAGAATGGATAAAAACGTAACACAAAATAACTATTTAAACAAGTAAATTCTGTAGCTTCTCAGTCAAGGGCTGCCAACAGCTGTTTGGTTCGTGTCTGAACCGTGTGCATAACCCAAACAATGAACAAGTTGTCTGATTGTCAGACAAAAATGTCACCAGAAGCTGAGCTATTTCAGCCTTTAATCCAACAGACAATGGTTTCCTCATTTAAAAATTGGTTCGATGCCAATTCTCACAGTTAAAATACTATCTGATCCTTTGGGTATTGCTAAAATTACTGCAAGAGCTCAGTTTTCCTTAAATGACTAGAATATGAAACTGAAAGGCCAAAGGTAAACTATGTGTGTTTAAATTTTAGTAAAAAAATAAAAAGGTAGGTATACCTTTAAGGTAGGGCTACTGGTAAACCTTAGAATAGCCTACCTTTTTTTGAGTTAAAATTGGTCTCTGATCTAATTTTTCATACATTTTTATAGATTTAAAATAAATTTTGCATAATTTGTGACTAACCTGCCAGCCTGAGTAATAATTGAACTTGCGACGAGTAAGGGTTGTGTCTCGGAACACAAATGTGGCCCATGCTTGTGACAGGTAGAACCCCCTGTTCCACGAGGAGCATGTCAGCGAAGCGTAATACTTCTGTTCAGCGTTGAGATACGAGAATATCCTTTCCAACACCAGGTCGGGCAACTCACACCAACGATCTTCCTCGATCCGAGGGAACTTTGGTTTCTCTGTAACATTAAACTGCCTCTGTTATTTTGTGTCTTTCGTCATACTACCAGCAACATTATTTGAGAAGTAAGTGACACAACCCATACACTCGTACGTGGCCTGAATGAAAATAGGCTAACTTAAGTTTACCAGAGTGTATGTTATAGGCTAAGTCGAAGATGAGCGACTGTTGGATGAATTACACAAGATGGCAGCCTGATTCTTTGGCTAGGAATATTCTGATTTGACTGAAATAAGTTACAATTTTATTTTATTAAGTATCAATTTATATTCATACAGAGGTGTCCGTAGTAAGCTAATAGGCCGATATAAGTTATAGCTGGGTACCTGAGTGGTTGGCTAGTGCTCGCCTAACTTATCCGTCTGAAGGTCAGTGGTTCGATACTGAGATGCAGCTTTTAAACCGTTTGAAACTAAACATAGGCCTAGCCATGGCAACTTGGGCTTCTAATAACTTATATAGTCCTAACAAATGAAACAGCTGCTCTTAAGTCAGGAATAATGCTACTCAAGGCATCTAACTATTCCAAACTCATCTTTATTCATAGCTAATTTTTTTATGTTTTCATTTTTGGTCAGCTTTATCGGATAGATTGTGTCAATTTAATTACTAGGCCAATAGATAGGCCTATATAATTTTTACAAAACTAAGTAATATTTAAACAGACACTACCTTACAGAAACTTTGTGGTATGGCGGTTTGGATTATTTAAGACTAGTTTTGAATATCATCAGGATGGAAAGACTGGCTCTTCAAGCTCGGCCAACGAGTACAACGGCCTTCAGTGCTTTAAGGAGGGTCTTTTCTGAAAGGCTTAATCTTCAAATCTCTTACAGTTTTGGGAAGCAAGTTAAAAATCTTAATAGCATACCGTGGGTATTATTTCAGGGATCTGCTTAGACGACATCAGGGCATATCAAAGTCTACTACGTTTTGTGCCTCATAAGTAGGCTATATTGGTCTCTCCTGGCAAAGTCAGTTTCCTTTTCCTTCAGGAGACCAAGGATGTTGTACACATACTGGCTGAACACAGTTTTAGTAGGTACTTGAAGTTCTTCAAAAATCGGGCGACAGTGGACATATCCCGCAAATGTAATCACCTGAAGTGCCATCTTTTGCAGTCGTAGAACCTGATGCGCAGCTGAACAGTGACCCCACAGTACCAAGCCGTATGTTATATGAAACTGTGGAAGAGGGCGTGGTAAACAGTCATCAGATAAGGCGAACGATTTCTGATGCGCCATATAGTTGCATCTCCGTTCTCATAGTAATGGTAGTACGTAATACAAAGCCACATATCCTAACCTAAGAACTACCATTTGTTACTTGTCATCTATCATCTAGGCCTAGTCCTAAAGGTGGATTGTACTTACAAATGAAATAATTGTAGACCTAGTATCAATGTTATTTGAGGGCAGTTTTCCATCCAAAAACACTACTGTTCTACTACATCTAACCGAAACGTTATTCGTAACACGTACTGGATGCCTAATGAAAAAGTTTAACGGAGGTTTTCAATAAGGCAGAGGATACGCGTCCGGTAACCGGACGTGGATTAGACGTCCGGCAATTACTGTCATAACCTAACCTAACCAACCAAACTTGCTGATAGTGAAAAAATCGAATTAAGGTGAAATTCTTTCTCTATAAAAAAAATTATAAATGCCAAAAATTCTAATAAAAGATGTACAGTTAAGAATAAATGGTATTGAATGCAAACTCTTCGACAAAAAGTTAAAGTCATCAATGGGATTCGAACCCTGGACCTATTGCATATCAGCCGAGCATCTTATCCACTACACCACGAACACCGATGGCTGGTCATTGTATTGTTGTGGTAAAGGCGTTCCAGGCTCCCGCAACCCCATGACGTCATTGCCGTACGCCTTATCCACGTCCGGTTACCGGACGCGTATCCTCTATGTTTCATAATTGACATTACCTTAATACCTTTCACTCTCATCGTTGTATTAATTACTTGATTGTTATGTATTAATCAATCTAGGCTATATAAATAATATTTAACTAAAAACTATTCTTCAATGCACTCGATGCAACAATATTGTTCATGTTTACAACTTTTGTTTACGTTTTTTGTTATGATTTGAAACGAAGTTTCGATTCCGATAATCCAAATCCACTAATCCACGTTCCGACAGACCATGGCTTGGACTTGGAATTATTTTTTTCTCAGATGGTATAGACGAGAGAAAATGGCAAAACTGAAAGCAGTCAATGATTATGGATGCTTAACATTGACTTTAGATTCTGCTATTTGGCTTATTGTCCGATTGAAGAAATTGATTTTGATATATGAATGATTTCCAGTGATTTTAAACCGTTTGAAACTAAACATAGGCCTAGCCATGGCAACTATTGGGCTTCAAATAGATGGTCCTAACTAATGAAACAGCTAATCTTAAATCACGAACAATGCTACGTGCGTTGAAGGATAAATTCGATCTTTCTCTAATTAGGAGGTAAATTTTGCAACGTGTGTATGACATTTTATTACAATCGTTGTTACCTATTTTGGTTAAGATAAACTTGGTGAAATTGCAAGAGATACATAATACTGGTTGACGCGATAGTATTGGACTGGACGGAAACATACCATCAAATTTTCTTTAGCTGATCCATGCAAATAAAGTACCTATGACAAAGTAAGTGAATATTTAAATTTTGTAAAAAATGCGTAAAGTACCATGCAATAACTAATAGTGGTTGGCCAATTGCAGAATTTCTGTTACTGTACTTTTTGAAAACTCTTTTTTAAAGGTATCCCCAATAAGGTATATAATACGGTGTGGTATATCCTAACAACTACGGATTGCTAATACAATACAACATTATGTCAACATTGTCAACAGTCAAAAAGTGTACAGTATTTGCATGCAACATTGGAGTGCATTTCAAAAAACATGTTTACTCATTTGTATTATTGATTTTTGTCAACTGAAGAGCTAAAACTATTTCTTCTGCTTTACAGTATCCATGAACTAAAATACTAAAATTTAAGACTATTACAAAAAACTCAAAGGTTATGCAACAAAATGTTTAATAAAAATTGTAAATGTCCCTTTTGCAAACAATGATACAAACTTAGAGTTAAGAAGTACTTTTATTCTATAAATGCCTAAGATAAATAATAATACGATTAAATACAATTACTGAATTTGCGCACTGGCGTCTTCTTCTGTGTATCCATCGCTGAGGCACAGCACCAACTGATTCCCCGATCTGCGGCCGGGCCATGCTGCAATTTGGAACTCTGCCCAATTACTTAAACTACGAGTGCAGCTATAAGAATGCACTTTTAATTAGATTAAACCACTTAAATAGTTTACACTATGTCCATTTTAAGTACTCCCAACTCTAGTGTTTGTAAAGCAGTGATCTCGTGACAAATTTTGGAGCCACCCCAGCGGTTCGTCGGTTTTAGCTTTCCAGGAAGTGGTTTACCTGGCCTCTGTTTTAATTACGCACACGTGTCTCATGAGTATTAGTATAAGATGTTGGGAGTGTCGTACCGTAATTCTCTTGCTTGATCAGTACTGCCAACCTAGATGCTGAGTTGGCTTCATTTCAGGTCTTAAATACCTCATCTTGGCCAACACCCACTACGCTTTAAGGTCACGTGAATATCTGTAATCAACAATTACGATTTCAAGACTTCGGATCACTTCAACTCTCTATACTGATGAAAATAGATTTAGAGTCTGGGACCAGTTGCTTTTTAGGCTATAAAACTAAAAATAAGATAATACGAATTTTGTTCTTGTGTTTGAGTAGGTACATGCGGTTAGTGGTGTCCTAATTGGTGAAGGAATAGCTGATTATCCATTTTGTTAACATAACTGTTAATTTTAACAGTTTATCTTTTTAGTCACAGCATTGTCGAAGGGCTATCAATATTTAAGTGGACAGGTCACAAATAAGTGACCCAGCTTGAATTTGTGAATTTCAAACTAATACTTTGATTAAGTAACCGTTATACTAATTATATTTAAATAGGGAATAATAATGTGATATTTTTAAGGAAACATTTTAGTGTAAATCCAACCAAGCAAACGAAAATCTGGTTAGTCTGCAGGTTTGCTGTGGCGGAGGTACCTATTATTAATACTTATGAAATCTAACGGGGTGAAACCCGTGGGTAACGGCTAGTGTTTCATAAACGCTGTATGAAGCTACTATTTATTTATTTATTTGACAGTTCATTTAACACAAATACATGTGAATGTGGTATAGCGTGGGCTTCGGTTCTGGGAACCCGGGTTTAAATCTCAACTATCACCAATGGATTATAGCAATGTATTGCTTCGGCCCTTTATAGACAGTCTAGACCTAGTCTGAAAATGGGTTAAACGGTTTCAGAATAGATCCTAGCGTTCTAAGATGTAGATAGGACAAAAAATATACATAACGAAACCCCTTCGACCTCTTCTGCTAATCTTCAGCGATGAATAGCGTAGAAAAACTTACCCAACTGCTCAGAAATATATGAAGAACAGCTGATTTATACAGTTTTGCTACAACAATGGCATTTGTGTACATGACTGGTCCATATGTGTTATATTTGGACCAGACAACATCGGTGCCCGGCAAGGTTTAAAATTAGCAGACCAAAAGAGATTTCTAGCTATTCTTATCGTATTTCCCACTGACTTGTTGATATTTTGTAGCTTATTGTTCTTATGATTAATTGTTGACGTTGGTTAGCACTGCGTCTTTCTAAAGATAAAATAAGCAACAGCTGTTTCTAGGATCAAAAAGTGCCGCACACGTGTGCGCTTTTAGAAAACACTGGGCATAAAAATGTCTTGATAAAAAATACCTCAATAGTTCAACACTTAAAATGTTTGCGTGGGCTATTTTTTTTAATCTAAAACGAATCTCAAACTATTGTTAACAACAAATAAAAAATGGTTTAACCAAGGCAATTTGGTTCAATAATGAATTAATTGTTCAAACTTTAGATAGAATCTTCAGCATCCAATAGTCAATGATAGAATATGCTTATACAGAAACTATACTTATTGACTGAAGTACACGATTTCATAAGTTATTGTTGTGTTTATTATTATTTTTACTATAATATAAATTAATTTAAAAAATAGTTCAAATTAAGTAGCCTAAGTGTTAGCATTCTTGGATTTAGAGAATCATGGATTTTCAAATGAAAAATAATAGCTATACAAATTTGATTTGAGATTAACTGATATATTTTCGGTAGTTTTGTTTATGAGGAAGCTAGTATTCATAAAGTGAAACTAACTCATTAAAACTGTCGCCTTTTACAGAACTTGAAGTTCAATTTTTAACAATAACAAAATCACACACCAGATTAATTTGATTTAGTTTTTAAATATGTTTACTCTTGACATGGTTTGTTTATAATTCAAAGAACCAACGATGGACAAGTAGTTATTGACTTCGGCGAAGATTCATTTTCCCGCCAGATACTGTATTTGTAGAGACATCAGCTGTTTGGAGTCACGTGACATGCTAAGAACACATGTCACCAATAACAGCTGGACATTTCAAGAGTGAGTTAAGAGGGTTTCCGAGCGTATCATTGGATAATTGATTCCCTCTTGAAAATTCACCTGTCAAGGATGTTAATTTTTTAAACCAAGTTTTGTAAATTGAGGGATGTCAAAGTATGGTGGAATATTATTTACCTTCGCAAAATCTGTTATGTACGAATCTTATTTGTTTTTAATATAAGATTACCTAAAATATAAGATCCTATTTTTGTTGAGCATGAATTATGTCATAATAATAAATGTAATTCAAATTAGGTACCTAATTGTAAATATAAAAATGAAAGATAAACGATAAATTCTTGATCAAGAATGCAACATTAAAGAATTCTTTTTTACTCGACATCTGATAATTTTTATGCAAGTGTTAATAAAGTTATCATTTAGAAAAAATTTTACAAATTTAAGGTGGACCTATGTTTCTTCTCTGCGTAGAGGGTGTTCAATTTGTTATATTATGTTTTTTTTTCATGTTATTAACTGAGTACAAACAATTATTACGAACTAATATAGGGGACTAGCTGGTCTAGTGGTAGAACGCGGGACTTCGGTCCCTGAGGTGCGGGGCTCGAATCCCGCCAATCACCAATGGACGTATCTAAATGATAATTCCACAAACCATAGGTCTAACCTAAATTAATTTGACTAACGATCCTGGGCTGGACCCTAACGTTCTAGGACAACAAATTACAAAATAATAGAGGCATGTTTACCAATAAATTTAGCGCACTGTTAAATTTAGGCTACACCGCAACAGAGAAGAAAGATGCATTTTACATCAGTACAATAAATACTAACGAAATATAAAACGCACACCATAACAAGATTATTTATATTCCATGTTGGATGAGATTTATGCTTGTAAATTTCAAAGTGTTTACGTGTTTTAAACGGCCAACGATATTTAGGTGGAGTCTTAGGTATTGCCTGGTGTGACTGGTGTGAGAGACATATTAAACTCATTGAGTAAGAAGGTATGCTGCGACAGGGGTATCGTTGAAGCAGATCCGCCTCAGACGATGTTGTTAACTACGCCAATATGACACGTCTGCGGCGAAGCAGAAAACTTTCTCTTGACTTTCAAAAATAAACTTCAGATCTGTTTTCTTGGTTCTTTAACAACTTCCAAATCTTTTCTGTAAAACCGTATTGATTGATGATTTTGAGTAGTTTTAACGCTTTATAACTTTTAAACTATTAAACTTGCCGCTATAAAATACACATCAAACGAAAAAGCAACTCAAAGAGTTTACGCCTTTCAAAGACACATCATTTGACAAAATCGATCCAACAGAACTGAAGATTTAATTGTACAAAGTTAAAAAGTAATCTCCAACTTTTTTTACCACTAGAAATTTGGAGGTTACTTGACGTTTTTGCAAATAACTTTTAAATGGTGATGAAATCGACCAAAGTGGAAGGTATTATTCCGAAAGAGAATAAAATTTCCTAAAATCTAATATTAGGCATTTTTTGAAAATACTCAAGAAAGGTACAAAAAATTGCCTCAAAATGAAAAAAATGGAAAATCCCCGTCTTCAATGTAGATAATAAACATAGCAAACATTAAATTTCACACTTTTTTATTTTAAGCCAAATTTAGGCTACATTTATTGAGTATTTTCAAGATATGCGTAATAGTAGATTGTAGGAAATTTTATTCTCTTTCGGAATATTTACCTTCCACTTTGGTCGATTTCCTCACCATTTAAAAGTTATTTGCAAAAACGTCAAGTAACCTCCAAATTTCTAGTGGTAAAAAAGTTGGAGATTACTTTTTAACATTGTACAATTAAATCTACAGTTCTGTTAGATCGAATTTGTTAAATGATGTGTCTTTGGAAGGCATAAACTCTTTGAGTTGCTTTTTCGTTTGATGTGTACGCGTATTTTATAGCGGTAAGTTTAATAGTAGAAAAATTATAAAGCATTAAAAATGGGTCCATCATTTAGAATAACCCTGTATTTAGAGATTAATTTAGTTCATTATTGTACTTAACTAAAATCGCTTAAAACAATTAAGTTGGTCTTTTACTCACTGACTAAAGAAGTTTAACAGCGTTTTATCACGTTTGTTTTTCATATTTCGTATATATTTGTGCTCTTTGTAAGAATAACTAATGACGATACCAGTTTATTTGGATTAAAGAAGGACGCCATTGAAACCTATAAATCATGTTTTTTTAACTTTGCTAATAAATTATTAGACATTTCCTCTACGTCTGGAATTAGTTTCTAATTCTGTGTACATCCAAGTAGGCAACCAACAGTAAACGCACATACATTTACTTTAAACATAATAGCAAAATGTACACTGATAAATTGTACCCCATACACTACTTGAAAATGTATTTTTATAAAGTAACATCGTTTTGTTTATTTGAACCCCTCGCTTTTTCCCTTAAGATACCTAGACAACTCTTGAAAGAGCGCTAGTTTGAATCCTGTGGCGCTCACATAAAATTAAAGATAATGGATATAAATGTGCTTTCGGAAAGCGTCTATTCTTTCGTACTTAGTTCTGGAGACAAAGGTGAGATTTCCTCTAGATCAGACATGATAAAATATCCCCAAAGTAAGAACTATTCCTCAGTAACTCTCAGTGACCCTAAGTATAACATATGGCCCGTATGGGTTGGTCGCGACTACTATGTTTACAAGCCAGTGTTTACTTTGAGGGCGTTTGGTTTTCGTCAGAAAATCTAAACAATCACAAGCGTCCTTCTTTGAAATTTCTGATACGCCTTTAGTCCATTACATCCTTTGTAATACTATGTTGGAGGTTTGTTTCAAATCCAGCTCTAAATCTGGCACATCATATAATAAAAGTTCTACAAGTATTTCATAATCAGGGATTGATTCGAATTTGCTTGCTTTGCTTTTCGTGAACTATGATCGTGATTCTTGATTGATACAAAAAGGAAAACGAAGGGTAAAAAGTTTGTCGAAAAGGACTTGCAATCTTTCAAGAAACTGTTTTCGAGGACTTGTTGAAAGATTTACGAACTTCCCAACTTCAACTAGTTCATTATTTTCACTTGTTAAAACTGAACTCAGGGGGTTAAAGTGTATATCTACATATTGTAAACGTTACTGTGTTGGTAAGGTTGTTCCGTTCTTGTTTCTCTTGTCAAGAATATATAGGATGTAAATAAAAAGACACACATTTACATTATGATTGCTCATGTGTGGTTAGTAAACCTGGTTAATATTACACATATAACGGATAACAACTCTATCAGTAAGAAGCAATTTTAATTAAAATCATTTCTATTTGTTAACCTAATGACATTCACTACAAATTCCCGTATATGTACGCTATTACAAGTCTAAAAATAAGTCTTTTATATACCAATCAGTCGAAATATTTTGTTTATTTACTACGTATGGTTAAGATTTAGTTTTGTGCAAATTTAATTCTTAGGATGTTAATTTTATATCTTACGTTTTAAAAATATTGACTTTTTCGTTAAGACAAAATCTACTTCAATAATGGGCTGTCCAGTCAATTTAATTTAAAACCGCATGTGTAAGTACAAAGCCTCAAGGCAAAAGAATTTGACAAACATTTTCAGACTTCAAAATGTACGCAATAGAATAAAACAAATCTACTTGCTTAACTGAAATCTCTTAAAACAAGTTTTTATATTTTACTCACTAACTAGACATGTTAAAAAAATGCAAATAATTTCTAATAATCATTCAATTACCCTAAATGTAATTTCCCCCCTAGATTAGTGCTATGAATCTAGTTATTCTAGTTATTGTGCATTAGGATTTGAACATATATTTTTTTATTGAAGCTATGTATAAAATCAATCAATGTCAATCAATCAATCAATCAATCAATCAATCAATCAATCAATCAATGTCACATTGTTACCTTCATTGAACCCTGAGTTGCATGTGCGAAACATTTGCAGCAGAGCAAACAAAATGCTCGGATTTGTCTTCCGCTTTTCAAAAGGCTTAAGCGACACGGCCTTAAAGACTTTGTACTGCACTTTGGTACGCCAAATCCTTGAATATGGCTCTCCAGTATGGAACCCCCACCAGAAGTTTCTCATAGAGGAACTAGAGTCTATCCAAAGAAGATTTCTCCGAATGGTGGGTGTCAGGAACGGTCTTCCCTATCGTCAGGTTCCCATCGAGGAAGTATCTCGTGATCTGGGACTCCAATCTCTTGCTGATCGCAGATTCACGGCTGACGTTGTACTGCTGTCAAAGATCCTTAACGGCATGATCGACTGTCCCGATATGCTGAGCCAGATCCTGTTCAGGACCCCTTCAGCCACTCGTTCCAGAGACCTGTTCGCTAGGCAGCAACATCGTACCAACTATGCAGCAAACGACACGATGTACCGACTTCAGAGATCTGGTAATAGCGTCGCCGACGTCGTTGACTTTTTCTCGGACAGTATACCAGTGCTCAAGAGGAGGATCGCCAGTCTGCATGAGTTGTCTGTCTAGGAGATGCTACAGCGGAGGGAAGACATCTCACTCTGCATAACTTCTTAACTGTAAAGTCAATTGTTAATATTACTATGTTATACATCTCTATGTCAATATCAATCAAACTGCATGTAACCCATAGGGACCATTGTAATCCCCTATCTGTCCTTCAATAAATATTGCTACATATATATATATATAAAAAAAAAAGGCAGAAGGCAGAAGGGGACCCCCACAATCACACATTGCTTACTTTATATTTAGCCATATTTAGGCATTTTTAGTTTGGTTAAACATTTATATGCATGTTCGTCAGTATCTTGAGTTCTTTCTTTCTTATTGTTCAAATGTGAAAAAATGGAGTTTTCCGTTGAAATGTAAAAAAAAAAAAAAAAAAAATCGTTCATATAAAATAACAACTGTTCGGTTTTAACTTTCGTTTTGCTTGTTTTTTACGTACCTACAAGGGTTATCACTGTACATATTATTATCCTGCATTTAGGTTTATTAAATCTTTTTTGTAGAAATTTCACACTAAATGAACGGAATATGTTATTCCCACGAGAGAAGGTCTTTACACTCCACAAACAATCTCTTAACCCTAACAACAAGAGTGATAAGAGACCAAATTTACAGCCCCATGAAAGTCAAATGTACAGTATTGAATGAACATGAGGGTTTACCTGACGGATAGCCGGGCTGGACAGTGATATAAATTATTGTTTGCTAATTCGTTAAAAGTATTCTATTAAAATCGTCAATTTCAAAAAAATTGTAATACCATTAAATCTGGCACAGTATTTTTCAATAACAAAATTCGAGGAAACGGAATTTTAACCGTAGACGGTGTCTCATTCAACCGTGTTCTTTTTAATAAAATATAGAAAGTGTTGCAATCCAGTTCACATTCAGAGTTAAGTAGAATTAAGTAGAGTTAAGAGTGGGAATGAACTGGTTAACATTTCCTTGGCGTCATTTTAGCCCACCTCCACTACATGCCACAATGTAAATATATTGAAAGTTTAACAATATGATTATAGTAGTTTACGCAAGGATTGCGTAAAGATAGTGTTAACGACACGAGCAGAAAATTTAAGGTACGAGCCTTGGCGAGTGCCTTAAAAACTTCTACGAGTGTCTTTAACACTATTTATGCGAGTTGCGTACACTACTTTACCTACGACACTGTTTTAATTACTAAAAATCACTATTCATAATTTCTAAAATAGGTTATGTTTTCGTTTATAACCTCTCATTGCCACTGACAGTGATGCAACGAAACACACTAATTGCACCAATCAACAATTAAATTGGCCTGAACAGCTGATTAGTTGAATTTTGAATCATTACAATTTTACTTCTCCTCTCTCAATCCTTGAACCTCATTGGTCAGTTACCCGTGTTGTTATGAGTAAAACTATGTTGTTATGAAAGTAAACAATGCTGTTATGAGATACTTTTAAATTCTAAGAACTGTACTGAAACGGCTACTTTAAAAAATGGTCGTAGGTAAAGAAGTTTATTGGCAATACCAAACAGTAACAAAATTTAATTTGTAGTTATAAACTGCATATTGAAATATTTAATCGTTCTTTTGTTCATAGAACACTTAAAATTTGTTATGAAAATGTGCAAATTGAATTTGAAATGAAAGATAAGTAATTTTGCAATGTTTATAGTCACAAGAAAAATTATTTGTGTTACTAAAGAATTTTTTTTACTTTAAGACTGTTTTCGGATTTAATAATATTAAGTCATGCATCACAATTTTATGAATCATACTTTAATTTTGAATACGTTATGTATTGGTTTTGAACGTCAATTCAACGTATGCTGAAGTATGTCAAAGATCAACATAAAGTCGTCTCTTCACAAAAATGAATACACAATTCAAATTTTAATGTGATAAAAATATTCCAAGTGTTTTTGAATAATCTGTATGTGATAACTTGAAGGAAACGACATTATTACAAGTATTGTTACAAAAACTAATATGAAATTCAACCCGTTGAATTCCAGCAAAATGTTGACGTGAGAAGTTTGTTTGGCATTTTTAATATCCAGATTCTGTTTAATTTTTCTGTTGTTTTATCAAATTGTGCCTTAATTTTTCAACGAGAAATTCAAAAATCAAAACAGCATGGATCTCAGTTGTATGACACGATTATTAAAAATTGTTATATTATTTGATCCCAGTATTTGCATGTCTCAACTTATGTAGTATGTAAGACTTGACTGAATATATTTTATTGAAACTATTTAATTAAATATTTTTTATCTAGTAACTTGACCATGCTAATTATTATACAGGCTAAACTGGCCAAGTTAGGTACCTAATATAATTGTTTAGTGCTAATTGTTTACAATGATAAAACTAAAATTTAAAACTGATTAATTTTTAGTTTCACTTATCTGTGTTATAGTTTATAGAACTTCCCTACGCTATCCTAACATTCTTATTAAGGTAATGCTCGGTATCTGACTATAATATTAGTAAGGGTTGATAGTGGTTGCTATTGAAACATATAATCATATTATTATGGATGTTGAAACGAAATATCTACCACTATAAAATGTCTGGCTTTTTAACAAATTTTGTTTTGTTGTTTTCAGCCGCCCATTAAACCTTTACTTGAAACAAAAGGGAGCTTATTGTATTCATGTTTGACTAATTAGTTCATTAGCTACTTAATTAATTGTCAACTATTATCGTCAATTGTTGAAAGCCGAAACGTATATTTTCGTTACATTATATATTTTTTGAATTCCTTAATTATATTAGTGTATATTGTTATGCCTTTAAATCATCGTATAGTTATTACATTAAAAAATTTAACTGCAATAATATATTTGTTAAAGTATATTTCTTCCTCGGTTACATAGTTTTGTAAAACTATTTGCAGCAGTTCTATTATTTTACTTTTCAAGCTAAAAACGAATACAACATAATATTTCATAAACTAATTTAGACTTAAATGAAAGGGTTGGTGGTAAATAATACCACTCTCAACCCAATTCTTAGCAGAAATATTCAAACCCATCCATTTCACAGTATCCATGACGCACAGTAATATTTTTTTGACTCTCCACTACTTGAAACCCCCAAAACTAAATCTGACCTAAATTACACTCGTGGCTTCCAGACAAAAAACGAGATCACAACAGGTTAAAGAAATACACTCGGTACACAGAACATTTGTTTATTTATGCCAATGTAACAGGCAACATTGTACACGATGATTGTACCTAGCTTCTCGATCTATAAAATGTACAACATGGCGCTTACATAGACACAGACACAGTTTTATACGCCTTTGACCGTGCATGGCTGTAGCTCGGTCATGGCTAGGCACCAACACATCGTCGCCCGGTCCTAGTAAAGTAGTCTCGACTCATTCTATACTTGGGTTTCAAAAGATGTGTTTCACGCAAATATTTTAAAATAAGGCAATAATATCTCGGAATTTTTTGATAGTACATATCGACAATACACACATGAAGAAGTGTGACCTTTATGATTTAATTCGTACAAAAGTCCATTCTCTAAACACATATTTCTTTTTCTGAACAGTATCTTGCAAATATGTTTCAATAAAAATTTTTTTGAAAGTTTTAATGCATTGTAAATTATACGGGTTTGTCTTTCCTTGTTGGATGTTATTTTCTGTATACATTTTATGTTTCATACCTTATTATGGTTGGATAGATTTTTTTTTAATTTGCTTACAAAGATATATATTTCTCATGTCATGGTTTTCTTAAGTTATCTCAAATGTATATACAATTCAACATTGTGCAGTGGAGTTTGCGTTATCCAATTAGAAGTAATAATTATTATAGGCATTCGATTAATCACGAATACTAGAAAAGACCCACGGTATGGATTATAAACATAAACAAATGACGTTTATGGCCCGAAAGTGAACAAAACCATATGTTAATTAATGATATTAGTATAGGGGATTTGTTTATGATCCATACCATTATAATAATTAGGAATTTGCAAATTTTAAAATCGAATTTACAAATATCATTAAATTAACCACTATAATTGTTAATATTCACACGTTTTTCTCTCAACGAAAAACAATTTCTTGTACCGTTTTTATTGTTTAAAACCCCAATTTTGTATTGAATACTAATGAGGAGGTGGTTTATTGTCTAAATTACTCTAAATTACTCTTCATATGCACACATAACGCTTGTAACTTTACAATATTCCATATTTGGTAAACATTTATGTCGACGATTTTCGAACAGAAATCCAAGCACCGAATAAAGCCAAAAGACTAAATCTCATACCGAAGTCATCAGATATAGGGTCGGGCGACTTAGACATTTGTACAGAGACAGTTAGGCTCTACCTATATAGTATTATGTACAATATATAGTACTATCCTCTACGCAATATCACCATAAAACAGTGTTGATGAGACGGGTAGAATAGTATATACATAGCTGGGAAAACATTGATATATTGTCATATGCATTGGTAAGATATAAGTACAAAAGGGCAGTTCTTAATATTACGCCTTGATTATTCTTGTGGAGAAGCATCAAGGGCTTCATTGTAAACTGGCCCTTTGGAAACACTTAGAAATAACTGTTGATGTGCGTAGCTCCTTTAAAAATAAACGTTTTAAGTTCAAAGATTAGCAATTTTACAAACGCGCACTTATGTTGTATTATAAAACTACCCTGTGAAGCAAAATATAAGATGGATTAAACAAATGTGTTAAAAAAACTAAACTAAAGTAAAAATATATTGTATGTTTGTTAAAATGTCTGTTAGTATAGTTTTAGTGAGACCCACATACAAATTAGAAATATTCTTAATATTATTAGGTCTAACGCGATATATAAAAATAATGCAAATTAATTAACCATCGTAATAAATAAAATGCATTTTTTAAATCATCCTAATCAGTAATCGCCACATTATTCATTTTCAATTACTTCCAGGAAAATAGCTTGATATTTCTTACGGATTAATATCTGTTGAACATTGTTAAATAACTTTTACTTAATTTAAAACCTTTTAAAAAGTAAAAAAAAATCGATAAGCACAATATGAGTACACTCAGAACACGTTACCTGTTTCACCAAATAAATTTCTTATATTTATGATATAATATCGGAATTTTACCGTACAACACCTATATATTAACTAGGCAAGACTTATTGGGGTGGACTTCCGTATATGTTGGCACAAACAACCGAATGAAAATATCGATCGATATATCGAATGAAACAATCGAATGATCGATATTTTTATTCGGTTGTTTGTGCCAACAGATACGGAAGTCTACCCACTTATTGTTGCCTCAAAGAAGATAGAAATTTGAAACACCAAACAGCTGTTGAGGTAATTTTAAATCGAGAAAGTGTATATAAAATGACGACATCCAACGTAACATAAATTTAACATGTCTGGTATGTTACACATTATTGCTGATCTACACTACGTGGCAATAACAAAATGGCGTACTTAGTTGGCAGTAGTTTTGGAGCATTAAAACAGTGTTTGTAAATTGAAAAGCATCTATGTTTTGGCATAGACAAAAAATATCAACCGTAAGCTCAGCTGCGGTTACCATAGGTTCTGGCGCACACCGCTGGGAGCGCCAAGTAGTTCCGGCATATGCGCTAAGTAACATGACCCTTCCAGCGGTTTACGCCAGAACCTATGGTAACCATGGTAACCACAGCACGGCTGACAGTCTATATTTTAATTCTTTTTGTCTATGGGTTTGGTTAGGTTTGAAACTGGTTTCACGAAAAACCTTCTCTTAATTTGTGTGTTTGGTTTTGATTCAACAGAACATCGTGATGCTTACAAGATGCTATAAATCAGACTGGCTTACAATGAAAACTTGTGTTAAGTCTGACTTAAAATGTGTGAACTGAGAAAGGTTAGCCCAAATTATTATTCTGCAGCGTTTAAGTCTACTAAATAATTCTGTTGGTGTTATATTGTGTATGCGAAATACCTTTACACCGACCACATAACCCCTGTATCCTAACGGCTATAATATACTTCTGACATACAACATTTAAGTACGGGTACCAAGTTGTATTAACGTTATTGTCTGGAAATACAAGAGCAGTTAGATAGACACGTGAACATCATAAACTCCAAACGATATAAAAATTACTTCTGAAAAAAAACTAAGTATAAACAATTACAAAATTGATATCAAAATATTTCATTCGCGATAAAACATTATAACTACAAATATTAACACATCCTTATTGTCAATCGGCAACCGTAACACGCACACAGGAAATTTGTAAAAATGTCTACAAAATACACCTAACTATACATCCAGTACGAACAAAATATAGTCTAAATACGTATATAAATATCCTTTACCTAACCTATAACTATCATTTACAGCCACCGATAACGACATCGACTTACACTTACATATATACTAAAATATACAACTGCACCACGGGTTATATACATATAGTATATATATATATATATATATATATATATATATAAATGCACAAATACGTCATTTTGGAACCAAATATGTATACACCCCGCATTGTGAAGCCCTGCCGTCTTGGCTGTTGACGCCAGAACACTGCTGCCTTCTATACGAATCAAGCAACTATCGTACATATAAAAAACATAGAACGGTATTTATAGTTAAAGCCTCCACCAAGGTATGGGTTCTGTACACTGGTTAGACCAACCACTCCAGTCAAACGTGGGTGCCGGTGCCATAGGAGGTATTTATGGCGGTGGTCTCTGACAACTCCTCTGGTTTCATTATTATTGACAATCTCTGCAACATAAAATTGATCAAAGTCAGAGATAAGGCGTACAACAAATTAGATAACCTAGGTGTAAAAGGGTAATCTAACAGGTTAAGCTTCCACAAAAATATAAAAAAATCGGGATAACCTAGTTGACTGGTGATTAAAAGAATTTTATTGAGCTATTTTTACATTATGTGAATGAAAATTTAAACCACAGAAGTGTTGACAAAATGAAATACTCCTTATATTACTTTCAAAGCACATTACCTTCAAACAAGAGCCGGGAGTAATGAGGAACTTGTAGATGATGTAGATAGGAATACACGAGATCGAGGAGGCAGTGAGCAACCATCCCATGGTGATGCTCCACTGTGGGTACACGTAGTCACCAGCTAGCATATCCTCGTAGCTGAGCAGTGAGAACACGAAGATGACCTGGTAGAAAACAGCACAACTTGTAAACTATATAGGAATACATGAGATGGAGGGAGGCAGTGAGCAACCATCCCATGGTGATGCTCCACTGTGGGTACACGTAGTCACCAGCGAGCATATCCTCGTAGCTGAGCAGTGAGAACACGAAAATGACCTGGTAGAAAACAACAAAATTTGTAAACTATATAGGAATACATGAGATGGAGGAGGCAGTGAGCAACCATCCCATGGTGATGCTCCACTGTGTGTACACGTAGTCACCAGCGAGCATATCCTCGTAGCTGAGCAGTGAGAACACGAAGATGACCTGGTAGAAAACAACAAAATTTGTAAACTATATAGGAATACATGAGATGGAGGGAGGCAGTGAGCAACCATCCCATGGTGATGCTCCACTGTGGGTACACGTAGTCACCAGCGAGCATATCCTCGTAGCTGAGCAGTGAGAACACGAAGATGACCTGGTAGAAAACAACAAAATTTGTAAACTATATAGGAATACATGAGATGGAGGGAGGCAGTGAGCAACCATCCCATGGTGATGCTCCACTGTGTGTACACGTAGTCACCAGCGAGCATATCCTCGTAGCTGAGCAGTGAGAACACGAAGATGACCTGGTAGAAAACAGCACAACTTGTAAACTATATAGGAATACATGAGATGGAGGAGGCAGTGAGCACTGAGCAACCATCCCATATTGATGCTCCACTGTGGGTACACGTAGTCACCAGCGAGCATATCCTCATAGCTGAGCAGTGAGAACACGAAGATGACCTGGTAGAAAACAACACAACTTGTAAACTATATAGGAATACATGATCTGGATGAGGCAGTGAGCAACCATCCCATGGTGATGCTCCACTGTGGGTACACGTAGTCACCAGCGAGCATATCCTCGTAGCTGAGCAGTGAGAACACGAAGATGACCTAGTAGAAAACAACACAGCTTGTAAACTATATAGGAATACATGAGATGGAGGAGGCAGTGAGCACTGAGCAACCATCCCATATTGATGCTTCACTGTGGGTACACGTAGTCACCAGCGAGCATATCCTCGTAGCTGAGCAGTGAGAACACGAAGATGACCTGGTAGAAAACAACACAACTTGTAAACTATATAGGAATACATGAGATGGAGAAGGCAGTGAGCAACCATCCCATGGTGATGCTCCACTGTGGGTAGACGTAGTCACCAGCGAGCATATCCTCGTAGCTGAGCAGTGAGAACACGAAGATGACCTGGTAGAAAACAACACAACTTGTAAACTATATAGGAATACAAGAGATGGATGAGGCAGTGAGCAACCATCCCATGGTGATGCTCCACTGTGGGTACACGTAGTCACCAGCGAGCATATCCTCGTAGCTGAGCAGTGAGAACACGAAGATGACCTGGTAGGAAACAACACAACTTGTAAACTATATAGGAATACATGAGATGGATGAGGCAGTGAGCAACCATCCCATGGTGATGCTCCACTGTGGGTAGACGTAGTCACCAGCGAGCATATCCTCGTAGCTGAGCAGTGAGAACACGAAGATGACCTGGTAGAAAACAACACAACTTGTAAACTATATAGGAATACATGAGATGGAGGAGGCAGTGAGCAACCATCCCATGTTGATGCTCCACTGTGGGTACACGTAGTCACCAGCAAGCATATCCTCGTAGCTGAGCAGTGAGAACACGAAGATGACCTGGTAGAAAACAACACAACTTGTAAACTATATAGGAATACATGAGATGGAGGAGGCAGTGAGCAACCATCCCATGTTGATGCTCCACTGTGGGTACACGTAGTCACCAGCAAGCATATCCTCGTAGCTGAGCAGTGAGAACACGAAGATGACCTGGTAGAAAACAACACAACTTGTAAACTATATAGGAATACATGAGATGGAGGAGGCTGTGAGCAACCATCCCATGTTGATGCTCCACTGTGGGTACACGTAGTCACCAGCAAGCATATCCTCGTAGCTGAGCAGTGAGAACACGAAGATGACCTGGTAGAAAACAACACAACTTGTAAACTATATAGGAATACATGAGATGGAGGAGGCAGTGAGCAACCATCCCATGTTGATGCTCCACTGTGGGTACACGTAGTCACCAGCGAGCATATCCTCATAGCTGAGCAGTGAGAACACGAAGATGACCTGGTAGGAAAATACACAAAATGTTGATGAAAGGTAAACATGTTGAAAGACCAGACAAAATCCCTAAACTTTTTTTTTTTTACATCAACCAAGAAAATATACCTAAAATGTTTATACAAAATGATTTTTTTTTTGGGATGAGGTAAAAGTGCATTTACGAACCCTGAGATGCTCAATGGCATCTCAGTAGTCTCAATGTCTCCGAACTGCCGACTAAAAACCCTCATCTCCTATGACACTAGCCTGGAACAGCATAGCACATTACTTCGGGCTATGCCTTTTAAACTGCCACTAGGGCTTACCATCTTATTTCCTCCGAAAACTAAGGCCAATCAATATTGACCTTATCTCGAAATAATATAAATTGAAAGCCTAAAAGGAAATTTATACTTGAGGAGGAAACTCAATTATTTGCGACAAATTCTATTTAGTTTTCCCACATTAAATATGATTTATCAGTAAATATTACTCACCAGGAGGAAGACAGGACTAATGTAGCCCCAGCAGAGTCTCCAGAAAAGTCCTGGACGATGTCCCAGCATGCACTCGATGTCCGAGGAAAACTGTTCCACACCGTACACCCAGCAGACTCCAGCCGCCTCCACGAACACGACGAACAGGATGGCGAGGCCGGGCCCGTACACGTTCAACAGATTGACCAGGTACACTCCGCCCTGCGAAAAATGGAGAAGTTATTACAGAAACAAGGTGAAAACACGTCTTAAAGTTTTTAGGAAACCCACTCAAGACCCTACGAGAACAAAGATTTGTTGGTGTAGTCGATGTCCCACTTAACATTGGTCCAGTTAAATATTAAGTTGATTGGTTATAGATATCGCTGTGGTGGTGTAAGTCTAAGTCCGCTTGAGGGGAAATTAATTTTTAGCAGTACAGAGTATTCAATTAATTGAATTATGACGAATTTTCTTTAAAATTCCACCAAAACAATTGTCAATAAATATTCTAGTTTTAAACATTGTAATGAAAGGAAATAAATTGCTATACTAAGTTTTAAAAAGCAGTTAAAAATTCGAGGAAAAATAAAACGGCAGAAAGTAAATAATCCATTTTTTTTAAACAAAACCAACAAACTGCAACATTAAGTATTCACTCAGGAATATCTTACACAAAATCGCTTAAATTCATTTAACTTTTAATTAAATTAAGTAGGTAAATCTTTAAATCACCATCATAAGTAAATTATTTAAACCGAACCTTAAACGTATTACATTTAAAACGCTTTTCACAACGAAAAAGAAAAAAGGCAAGACCACTAAAGGGACGAAATGAAAGAGCCAACCGCTTAATTCATCTTCAAGAGGAAGTATTACATCCAAGACAATCTCTTAGCTCTGACAAACCGGAGCAGATAACGCGTAAAGTTTACAACCGTTGAATTGTAGATTCGACCTCTGAGGGAACGAGTCTTCAGTGAACGACTCCGAATGCATGAACATGAGTCTACCTGGTGATAAAGTGGAAGATCCATCTTGTCCAAACGAACCGCACTCATCTGATACCACTGTTGGAAATTAACTGTTCTTTTCTAAAGGATTTCATTCGTGCTTAGTTCTTCTTTACCGCTGTATTTAGGCGTGGTATGTATTGTATCGGTCAGAAAATATTTTAATTGAGTATGTTTTTTTGTAAAAACTATAAAAGTATAGTTTTTGCTAACTATAACTGCAGAACCTAAAAGGCTAGTGCATATTTGTAGTTCAATTTACCATGTTTTATTTTTTAGAAGTAGTACCATTGATTAAAGAGTAAAAAATGTATCTAATCATTACTAGAAATTTATACCCTCTGTAATATGTGGTAGTAGCTATCAACATAAAGGTTTAGTGAAGAAATCTATGTATGAGGTAATTTAAAGCATCCTTATTCTCAATTTTTGTTGTCAGTTAGTTCATACATTTACCAGATCATAGAACCTACTGCTTATAACCTCAATAAGGAACTCATTATGATTGCCAAAACATATTTTTTACAATTCCTATATATATTTAGTAGGTTGAAGTGGACTATACTTATAAAAAATAACCTTTTTTAAAGGAGTAAAACAAAAGAAAAGCTTGCATAAGCAAATAGTTTACAATGCTTTCCTTAAAAATGTTTCATAGAAAGAGTTTCAGGTGATAATAATTGAATGATCTTCTTTTTCACTCATCTCATTATATACCTAAAAAAATAAATGAGTAGAAATATATTCATTGTACGTATATGAAATCGTACTTTTCGTAGTTTTAGAGTCATTTCACACTATAAATACAGTTAGGTAAAAATAAAACATTGCAAGCTTACATATGTCGTGGTAGGCAGCGCACAAATGTACACTCCGGTCAACAGGACAGCCACGAACACTTCCCTGTTTCGCCCCAACATCCTGGGGTACTCGTCACACAGGGCGGTGATCATGGCTTCCAGGCCACCAAACGTGCTGTCCAGGCCTGCCAACATGTGAGATGTAATAAACAACAGGTATGCCAACATTACAAACAAATATTGTCATCAATGAAGTTTTGTAGTACAGTAAAAAAAAAAATAGTCTTCCAGCCCTTTTTCGATACACCTTGAAACATACTGTTAACATTAGTGACAAGGTAAATATGAAATATGTTTCGTCTGGATTTGGGCTTGATGACTGGTGTAGCTTTTCAGAATCGATATTGTGCATCTCACACTCAAACTCATCTTTATGTATTTTTACCATCCTTTAACTGTTCAAAGAAATATTAAAGCAACCTCGACCAATGTTTAAAGTATTTTATTATGTTTATATATAGACCTAACGCGTAAATGTTAATCAGTGAAATATTTGGTGCATTATCAAGAAACCCCAATAATAGAGAACCCTGGTTGCTCATTAATGGTCATTAATTTATCTGATCGTACTAGAACACTCGTAACTGTATAAATCTGTGTTCGCGTGAAGTACAGGAGCCAGGAGCAAGCATCGTATATGAAGGAAAAGGGTAAGTGTAAACACATTTTCATAGACAACATTTATTTACTTGAAGATTTTCACGTACATCTATCAAATGTCTGTTTCATACTAAAAACTATTTTGGAAAAACATTACCTAATGTGATGAGCATGAGGAAGAAAATTATGGACCAGAATACGGAGCCGGTCATCGTTGCAATGGCTTCTGGGTAGACGATGAACACTAGTCCTGGACCTGAGAAAAAAATGTATTGTTATACATCTGTTGATCTTTGTATTCAAACTGATAATTTTCAATAATAAGTATCAAATGTAATATTTAACAACTTGCCCATCACAAAACCTAATTGAATGAAGGAAATATAATATTATGACCAAGTAAAGTCTATTTAATATACTTTTGACTTGATTGTATTTAAGACTGATTCGTCAGTGATTTATTTAATTGTATCTTTAATTTACATTCTTATTTATTCCTGTGATGAGAAGTGCATTTAGTAAACAGGCAGAAAAAAATTCTTCAATGAGATTTGTGATTATATTTCCGTATTTTATTAATCTTTTGCGGTTTTTATTTTAGTAAGTCAACACAATAAATCGCGTATCCAATATTATCAATTAATTAATTATTCTATTTTACGTTTGTCTTAATCTTCAGAAAGAATAAATTACGATTTAATCCCAAATTTGAATATAACACTTTTTTGTGTAATTCCATAATTTTGTTCCCTACGTAGCTTCAAAATACACAAAAGTATTAAGTATTTACTGTAAATCCAATCCTATATATAATACGAGTAAAGTTTGAATACTTGTCCACTCGATCTGGGAATCGGCCCTAACAAAATCGTTTATATTTACGGAATAACTAAGTTCTGTGCCAAAAATAAGTTCTAGACCAGTGGTATAGCCAGGAAAAATCTATTTTCGCCATAATATGAGTGCAAACTTTTGAAAATTTAACATGGGCCTTATGAGAAAACATTCCGCCATTGTTGTCATTTTGTTTACATTTTAAGACATAACGTGACGTTCTGTACCCACGGGCACCTCAGCTTGCGCATGCTATTTGTAGCATATGTTTACACAGACCAAAAGGAAATAACAATGTGTGTATACAGAGCAAAGGAAATTAACATTCAGATTATACCATTGAGCATATTATACTATAACTGAAAAACCAATTTCTGTCAATGTCGAGTGCGGTAGTTAAATTAATGAGAGGATGGAATAATCTTTAATTAGCTTTAACTTATACACCTCCTTTTATATTTATTGGGTAGTAGATTTCTGCTAAATTTATTTCAACTTAACTATTATTTCACGTGCAATGTTACTACATTCCCTATTGTAATGAATCTTCTAATATAAGTCATGCAGTAAATGATCACAACACTCATGAAGGCTTACCGTATTATTGCCCATAAGCTGAATACTGAAGCTACTGAAGGTAATTCTTTCTCATAGTATCAATAACAATATCATACAATTACTTTTGATCAACTGATTCTATGGCTTAAATTTCAATTCTAACATTGGAAGCGCACTAGACTTAGGCTTCACATAAGTTCTAAAATATGAGAAACTAACCCATACTAATTATGTACAGAATTGAAAATGCTAACTTATTATTAAATTAAATATTTAGCATTTGTTACTGTGACTCATTAGTAGATTACTTGACCATAAACTTTATTAACATTGTGAAACGTTTATATTTTTTAATGTCATTTATGATAATTGTAAAATTAGAGTGTATAAATGTTCAAATTTTATTAAATATAAGTGTGAAGCAAAATAAAAATAAAAATATGCAATGAATATTATAACAAATTAAAATAAGAGAAAGCATTAGACTAAAATAAATTATACTACATGTTTTAATACTTATGATTTTGTAAAAAGTGAACTCAAAATAATTATTTATTTCAGGCCGAAACTTCCAATTTTGGGTGGAAAACTATGGTATGGATGACATTCAGAATTTTCAAGACGAGGGAAATGAAGAAACCCACAATGTCAGCGAATTAGAAGCCATTGGTCGCAGACAATATAGCAATTTGAATAACGAACAAAAAGACTTGGTTGATGCTGTTATGGAAGCAATAGAAGACCCGATGAGTTGCATCCCCAAGTGTTTTTTCCTCGATGGACCAGGAGGTACAGGGAAGACATACGTGTACAATACCCTCTACCATCTAATTCTTGGAAAAAAATCTTAATGTAAAATGCATGGCATATACCGGCATTGCATCAATCTTGCTACCTGAAGGACGTACTACCCATAGGACTTTTGGTCTAAAAGTTCCATTGACTAGCGATTCTAAATCATCAATTCAGCCAGGCACTCAGAAGGCCCAAGAACTGGCAGAAGTAGACGTATTTATGATGGACGAAGCACCAATGCTACCAAAATATGGCCTAAGTTGTATTGACGGACTCCTGCGAAGCTTAGGAAACAGAAACTTGCCTTTTGGAGGAAAAACTATGATCCTAGGAGGAGACTTCCGCCAATGCCTTCCAGTCCAGCCTAGAGCAAATCGATCTGAGCTGATCGACCTTTCTGTAAAACGTTGCAGTATTTGGAAGTTTTTCAAGCTCTTCTCTCTTCATCAAAACATGAGAGTCAATCTCGATGAAAGTGCATTTGCTGGATATCTCCTTCAACTTGGAAATGGAGATTTGCCCACCAACAATGACTGTGAAATAAATATTCCCGATGACATTATTTCAAATGAAAATATTGTTGAACAAATATATGGCGATTGCCTAGCCAACAGAGATTACAATGCTATGAGAGATAGAGCCATCCTTGCACCTTTAAATAGAGATGTTGATAATATCAATAACGAGATCATCCAAATTATCCCTGGACAAGAAACAATTTATAAAAGTTTTGATTCAGTAAAAGATGAACCTGATGGAGCTCTCAAATTCCCAACTGAGTTTTTAAACTCAATTGAAATATCAGATTTACCACCTCATGAACTCCGACTAAAAAACAACGTCGTTATAATGTTACTCAGAAACCTAGACGTGACGGAGGGTTTATGCAATGGCACAAGACTGATTGTCACGGAGTTGTGTCCGAACATTATTAAGGCTAAAATAATTACTGGCAGTCATTCTGGTCGAGATGTACACATTCCAAGAGTCACTCTTGATTCGAGCAAGTGTCAACTCGGATGTTCGCTGCAAAGACATCAGTTTCCAGTTCGACCAGCTTTTGCTATGACCATCCATAAGTCTCAAGGCCAAACCTTTCAGTCTGTTGGTGTTGTGTTAAACAACCCCGTATTCATGCATGGGATGCTCTATGTAGCTTCCTCCAGAGTACGAACAAGAAACTCTTTAAAAGTTGTTTTGCCATCTAGAGACAGAAAATTAACTAAAAACGTTGTTTGGATGGAAATATTCAGATGAACAATATTGAAAATGTTAGTTCATTTTGGTCTATGTAATTAATATTTAAATTTGTACCATAATAACTAGCTTACCTTACTTGAAATTATTTAGTTTGGATTAAATAGTTTGTTGACTTAATTGTCGATAATCTGAAGAATATAGTCAAATTAGAATCTAGAGCAGAGGTAAAATATGTAATTGTATTATATCATATTTTACCACAGTTGAATGCTTATCACCATTACATTTTTATAGTTTAAAATTGGTTTAAAACTGACTAATTTGAATTCTTATGTGTTTGTTATGTTATTTGTTTTAGTCTATAAAAAACAATCGTATAAACAATTTGTAGTTTTCATGTTTTTACAATAAATGCAGCCTCAGTCTGTGATATTAATTGTAACTACTGTGATATTTTTCTTTGTTTGTTTAAGAAAACTATTTGGAAAAGTGAATTGAGATGCTTACAGTTCTTGTGTGGAAATCCTTAGAACTTAAATTGCAATATTATAGCATGCCATGTTGTCTATACTCAACTACAATGTAGCCAAATTAGGATGTTTTTATTTTTTTGAAAAATAAATCACAATATTTTATTGTTTAAAGATAGAATAAATTACTATATTAATTTACATGAGAATCATCAATTTTGCTTAAAAAACAAAGTCAACTACAATATTACTATTATAACAGACTGATAAACAATTATGTTTTTGATAGATGACATTGAACAAATATTTCTCTCAGAGTAAATACTAATGATTTCCCGAGCAAAGCTCGGTCCCCAGGTACTACTCATATAACAGAGCAAAACAAGTTAATCGCGTAAGATTAATACAACTTTTGAACAAAACTTCTGTTTAGTTTTGGACAGCATTAATAAAGCGATGCCGAATTGCGTCCAGAGTCTTAGGCCTGAAATGTCAGTGACAAATTCGCGAAACAAATAGTCCGGGGAAGACGAATCATTGACTTGAGAGATAATTGAGTTACTGAAGTTAGTCAGCAACAAACAGGACTCAGCGAGATCATTTGATTATACAAACAAACTCGAACAATTAGTCATCTAAGACGGTTCGTTTTGTCATATAGCTGTAAGTGTTATTAATCTAAGACGAAACAAATAGAGGTCTTTTCCCCATTAAACAGGTTTAATTTGATAGTAATTAAAAACCAAAAGTGTATCTTTAAAATCTTTGATGTGAAACTACTTAATTAGTTGGTACAAATAAAGGAAATGGTATATAATTTTAATTACGAATGTATGTTAAGTTAAGATAATTTTCATATTGTAGTCGTAGATGTTAATTTTTTGCTACCACAACTAATCCTACTTTATATTTCGGAAGTTCTAATCTACTTTTCAGAACATAGTGGCATCCAAAATTTAAACCTCTATATATTTTAAGAGAGCGACCTTTTTGATTGGAGTTCATTTTTGTTTATTGCAAGTTCGTATTGTTTCAAGTTATTGTGGACAATTTTCTTTACTGGTTTGTAAAATGTCTTGCATCGTTTTGCGGTTTGGAATCTGGCCCCCATCTTCAGGTGAGAATGCTATGAAAGATTTAATACAGTTGAACTTTATTAAATCCTGTGTCTAAGGAACAGTAACAAGACTACAAGATAGCGTCACTCATCCTACACTCTTCTCAGTTCATACTTTGCTTAAAATACCTACATTAGTACGGTTGCCATTTCAAAGAAAAGTATTAAGAGTATTAAAGAACCTAGAGCAAAGATTAATATTAGAATTTGTATGGGATGGAACATAGGATGCGCATCATAATCAGATAAGTGCAAAAACTTTCGGAAACATAATAGCTAAAGGCAACACAATTTTGAAGTAAAAAAACTTATCAAGCAAAAAAGAGTGTAAGAATAGTTTTCCTGTGTAAACTTGTATTTTGCTTATAAAAAGCAACAACGTTTCCCAAAACCCCCTAAACAAAAATAACTTTTATGATAACTTGCGGAAGATTAACAACACTGAATGATTGGAAGGAAGGCCATATCTACAACAAATTATTGAAACTAAATTAAAACATCTCTAGTCTTGAGATGGTAATCCGAAAAACGGATAATGAGTTTTATCTTTGAGACTTTCCAACTTGTACATCGCAAAGCAAGGGTCAAAACTGTGAACAACCACAATGCGCTTCATATCACACGGTCGAGAAGATACAAACTTGCAATATTCCCCATTGTTCCCCAACTTTTGCAATTGTCTTCAAACAAGAGGCAAAGATACGGTTGGGAAACAATCTCATTGTGACCAATCGAAAATAGGCAAACTTTATAAAGTTTTAAATAGATAATGTGTTGGAGTTGTAAAGTTTGTGTAAATTTGTTCCCTTTCAAAACTAGATTAAAGTTCACATTTCATATCAAGACTATAACAACTGTCTCTTCGAAACTCGTCTTCAATAATATCATTTCAGTAAATAAACAAATAAATAAAAATGCCTTTATTTAGGGGTACGAGCGAGTTTCATGATACACGATTTTCAAACTAACTCAAGTCACTAAATCTAAACTATCCTAATATATTAACATAGGTATATAAAAAATTTCAACAGAATGATTTACAACATAAAATTCACACTTGTTTTTTTGTTTTCATTGATTTTGTTTTAATTGCGGCCCTGAATGAGTTGTAAGATTTCGAACCCTTAATCACTTGAGGTAGGCCATTGTACAACTGCGGGCCAAAATAAGAAAAAGACCTTCTTCCAGTCTCAAGCCTCACTTTAGGAAAGTGAAGCCTGAGGTCAGAGCGAGTACTATGTAGACAGATCTCCCTCCTATACTTCTAAGAAATTAAACATTAATAAGTTCTTATTTTTTTAATTACATATTTTGTAAAATAACGCAGTTTGAATTAGAAAATAAAGCTGCAAGGAGTTTAGCTTTTCCATATCGTCTTAATAAAAAGCACAAGGAGTCAAAGTACTATCTAAAACTGTAAATGATTATACCGAACTTTGAAATTTACAAAAATCATCTCTCTTGCTTGACATGTCAAAACTCTTTTACATTAATTTATGCTAAAAAAACTATAGACTAACCAACATAATGCTGTATGCTTTATGCATAAACCTGTATGCTTTATCTATGCTAAAACTGAGAAAATATCAGAGCTCAAGGTACCCTAAAGACAACAGACTAACTAAATATAAATGAAAACAGATTTGAACATTGGTTCATCAAAATAAAAGAAGAATGTCCCACCAATTTATATTTTTTATGATTTTATTATTTCACTTTAGTTTGACTACAAGAAATGTACATTGAGTACCTAAATTTGGTATCAAAAACAAAGTATACAATGTTTGTTAAGTTCTTATAGCCATTAACGAGGAAATAATAGATGAAACTAATTATTATGTGTTTTTATAGTTTGTTTGTATATTATTATAACTACAAAGGTTACGGTATTGCATGTAAATCAATGGGCTCCCTTCGTAAATTTTTGTGTAAGTTTAGAATGAATCGATAACAGTCCTCATGTAATATGGTAATATTGAAGTTCTCATCTAAATACAAACCAAATTATACATTTTCACAGTCTTTGAGCAGATTGTAAATTAAATAAAGTAAAAAAAAAACTAAAAGCTTTCTTATAATACTACTTAAGGCAAAGTTATTCGTGAAAAGATTTTTGGAAAGAATTTGGTAAATCACATTTTCTAGTCTCCCAAAATATTGGTTTTATTGTTTGAAGTTTTTGTCCGGGCAGGAAGATTTAGCACCCCCTTGATAGAACGTTATGAAAATTTGCACTGATTTAAAGCTTTTGTTGTAATCTGTTCTTTTGTTTTTTTTTACACAGCGTTAATAGCTGTTCTCATTTTCTCAGGAATAGTATAATATATTAACAATTAACACAAACTATTATCTATCCGACGAAAGACTTTTTAAAAATAAATAAATTATGAATTAATTAAAATGTATTTATTAGCCAGCGTCCCTTAGTAAGTTTAGTGTAGATCACTTAAAACATTAAAAAAATAATCGTTCAAACCCAAATTGATTTTGTAATTTATTTATGATTATAATATCAATTTATAATTGATTTTTTTAAATGCCAACCTTTAGAAATTACTACTCAAAGACTGTGTAATTATTTATCAAACATTATCTATGAGATATAAAACGTTACTTGAAACCCTTTTGATCTACTGTATGTTGTATAACCTTCTTTAGTAAAATACAAATTAATACATTCTACAACAAAAAATTAAGTGAAAAAGTGAGCATATAAAACATTTTTGTAATATTTTCTTTTCGTATACATGTAAGCTAATTATTTATTGTCATTTTTAGATTATTCAAAAATAATTATTCATTATCCACTTACCTTCAAGCCCGACCTGGTCAACACTCTTGTTCTGCACATGCGCCATGTAGCCTAGCACAGAGAAGATGACGAAGCCTGCCAAGAAACTTGTCAAACAGTTGATGCTACTCGTGACTATAGCGTCCCTGGAACACCAAAATATACTGTAAATTATACATATACAAAAACACGAAATAATAGTTGATAATTTCACAACAGCCAAAGATTCATTCCATGTTTTCAGTTAGTTAAAGTGATAACAATTTAAGCATATATAACGGATTAAAGTCGTTTATGCCAATCAATATTTTATGTACATGCAACCGATAACATGTATGTACCTGAATTGTTGTGCAAACTGAAAGTAGGTTGTTGAAAAGAGCAAAGTTTAAAGCTTAGTTTAAAATAATTGTTCATGAAAAGTATGGCAAAAGGTTAGCACGAACAATTTGATGGTTTGATGGCACGACCACGGTTAAACATTTTAAACCGCAATTTAAAAATTTTAAATAAAATCTTTTTGTAAATATTCGTTTACGTATTATAGATTTTAGCGAATTTCCCATATAGGGAATAAGCTATTACCGTAGTACTCACGGTAAGACCTGGACCCGGGACCGATTTTTTTTTCGTTTTGAGGTCCCTAGAGGTCAAAAACACCATCCGTTCAAATTCATATATATATATATATTTATATATATATATATATATGTGTCCGTTAGCGCGATAACTCGAGCAAAAATGATCCGATTTTGATGAAATTTGGTACAAACATGTAAACCTACGTTTATTCGAACGAGTTCGCGAACCAGCATGATCGGACCATGGGAACGGGGGTTTATGGGGGCTTTTATGGGGAAAAAACGGGTTTTTCCCATTTTTGACCCAAAAAACATAAAATTTTGCAATTTCTTTCGAAACTATTTTGTAGAGCTTAAAAAAACAAATAATTTAGTATATTGAAGCATTATAATGCGCCTAATGGTTACGGAGAAAATTCCAAAAAATTGTAAATTTAAAATTCCCATGTTATTCTTATGGAGAATAAGTAAACTGTTGTAGTTTGCTTGTTTATAAACATATTTTGCCCAAATTTGGAAAATGTTTTTATTTCTTACTAACTATTAACATTTTACATAAAAAACACTTTTACCCTCCCTGTTGCAGCAAACCTAAGTATGTTTTAAACTGATTCTATTTAAATCTATATAAATAAAATTAGAGTTTTGTCTGTACATTGCTTAGAATAATGAACTTTTTGGTTATTTTTACATTTCATAGGTCAGAGAAACCGAATCAAACCTTATCTCAATTTCTGTCTGTCTGTCTGTCTGTCTGTCTGTCTGTCTATCTGTCATTCTCTTGGTAACGCTAAAATACGCACTTTATTACAACTACTCCTCAATAACTATAGCACTGTCCCGCCTGAAACTTATTTTCCAAATACTATACATATATGAGATGGTTTTAGACGTATTTCATCGAATATGAGACAGTTAGATATTTAACAGTAAACCCTTGAAAATCAAGTTTTTGTCGATTTTTGACGTGGAATTTCTGGAAGCCCATGTTAACCTTATGAGAAATGAAATTATTGAATCTTAACAGCTGTTTCAATTAAACAAGTTGGTTCTGTTCTGTGATGTTCAATAGCATTAAAGTTACAAGGATTACCAACAGGGTGCAGCACTAGCACTATTATTTCTTTTACATTTATGACAACAGCTAATTTGCAACCTGGAGGCGAGTGAGCGTAGCGAACGAGCTAACCTGAAGGCAAGTGAGCGTAGCGAACGAGCTAACCTGAAGGAAAGTGAGCGCAGCGAACGAGCTCCAACATACAGGTGAGTGAGCGTAGCGAACGAACTTCAACCAGGACGTGATTGAGCCATGCAAACGAGATCAGATAGTAAAAATAAAAGTAAGCCTACCGTTATAGGATCGACCGGCAGACACAGAGGTAATTTAACCTTTTATTGATTGTCATACCGATCCGGAACAACAAAAAACAACATAAAATGAAGCTATGTATAATAGTTTGGCCAGCATATCTTAAAATATGCAAACCAACTGCTGTTCTTTATATAAGAAGGTTTCAACTGAATATTATAAGATCCCCGTGCGTAGAACGGGTACACAGCTAGTAGGGAATAAATGTGATAATTTTAAGGAGACATTTTAGTGTAAATCCATTCAGGGAAATGGAAATTCGCTTAGTCTGCAGGTTTGCTGCGGCGGGGGTATTTTTTAATCATTGAGCTTTTCTCACAAAAGCATTGTGGAAAATCCATCATCCCATGTAGGAATTAAAATTTATTAGTATTATTATTGAGCATAATGAATCATTAAAAGTTGCTATACTGTTATGATGACAAATATTATCAAGCTATTTGTGTGTAAAAGATACTACTATTATTTTTCAAATTCCTTCACCTAGGGGTAGGCAGAAGCATTATTGCCACTGTGCTTATAATATAGATTACCTGTAACAATTGTTGTTGAATTTATTATAACTTGAAAGCGCCAACAAGGTTCCGAACCCGGGGCCAAGCGAGAAGAATATCTGGGAGGCAGCGTCTATCCAGACCTAGGGAAGGAAGGAAGATTACTTTGTAAAAAATATTTCATTTGTATTCCACAGTAGTAAAACAAAATTCTTTAGCCCTCGCTTATCTCCGTTGTAAGATCAAGGACATCTAGTATGTAGGTTAGGTTGATGTAGTAACACTTCGGCCCAGTAACATTTCGGCCAAACTCAAATTTCTTAGAAAAACAGTATCACTTCGTCCCACTCGCTTTTACAGATGATTAAATAAGCTAATGGAGTAACATTTCGGCCCGACGAAAAATTGACAAGGGTTGAGGAACGCAGTTCAGGTATTTCAGGGGGGTTCAGGGTTTTTTTAGACGTACATGACCTGTATACTTTGCAACCACCCTTTGGTTGAATGTCGCCCAACCGTCACCCCTTGCATCCTCTGACCTCACATGACGGAGAATCGGTGGAATATTACCTAACCTAACCTAACCTAACCTGTCAAATATTTTGTTGGGACGAAGTGTTACTAGTGGGCAGGTAGAGAGTTGGACCGTAGGCCACATCTGAGGGTTTCGGACCGAAATGTTACTGGGCCGAAGTGTTACTTGGGCCGAAGTGTTACGACACGTGTAGGATAACACCCTTTCATTAATATGAAAAATAGTATCCAATAAAGGCTCTAGGATTTAGAAGGAAGTGTACATTGGACCACAAAACAATTCACGATGTTATTCGGATTAACGCAATATCTTGATCTACACTAACGACTAACGAATCATATTTTTTTTAGAAAATAATTAAAATTTACACGTGCCTCATCAACACCGTTGTGTTTGTGAATTTGTTCATACTCGTTGCATTCTCTAGATGAGAATTGAACTTGTAACCTGGTGAATTTTCATAATAATAATATTTCCAAATGTATTAACCCCGGTTTAGATAATTCCTAAAAGCCTTTTCTCAGCTACACAACCAGATTTGGAAATTTAAAACTCATATTTAAATGGATCAAACAGATATAAGCGAGGCTTAAAAATTAAGAAAAGGGGCAATTTTATTTGGCTTTTGTAACTCTACGCCCACTTAACAATTCGAGGTTACAAGTAACTATACTTTAAAATATCTACTTTGAAAACCATTCCATTGTAGATATACAAATAATATACAAAACCTTCACCTCGTCTTGATAAAAATATTTTAAATCACGATCAACAAACGTTTCATCATTCTCCATCTGAAGGCAAGTTGAAAGCGTTTCGTGTTTTAGCTGTCCATAAAATTGTCACGTAGGTCAGTTGTTTATTATTTAATTTATACACATGTAATTGTTATATTGTTTCTCGGGGTAGACTTTCGTATCTGTTTAAAAAAAACAACCGAATGAAAAAGTATGAGATATATCGAATGAAACAATCGATGTATTGAACAATCGATATATTGATCGATATATTCATTCGGTTGTTTTTGCCAACAGATTTGGAAGTCTATCCGTTTCATTTACGGGTTGAATGATCCAATAATTCCCAGTACAACTCGCTAAGACCGTGAGAAACATAATCAAATGACTTAGTAAACTCAAATTTATTACTTACAATTACTTGGAATTACCTTTGAGTTTTTGAGCTTGTGCCACTGAGGGGTAAGGTAGTATCTGATTCCTTCGGCCGCCCCTGGCAATGAGACTCCGCGGACTAGAAGGATGATGAGCACGAAATACGGGGCTAGTGCGGTGATCCATACAGCCTGCGAGAAACAGGAATCAATCAAATTCCAAGTTTAGACAAAAATTTTATTTCAGAAATATTCTGAACAATATTTTTCCCTTATGTCCCACCTTTACATTCTAGAACGATAGAGTCTAACAGTTCTACATTAGGCAATGCCTGGTCAGTCCACAGGTTTAAAGATTGTCATTAGACAGGTAGATCCGTAAACGTCCACAGTTTCGAGAGGGAGTTATTATTCAATTGATTGGCATCCATTTTTTAAGAGGTTGGCGGCCTCTTTTAACCTTGCATTTGCCCGCCCACATAGACTACAGATCTGTGCGTGTAACCACAGATAATAGGGGTTATATTATCTGTGGTGTAACGTATGCAGCAGGGCAAGGGGTGAGCCGGTACAGTACGAAGTTGAACTGTACTCATAAAATGTTTGTGACAGTGACCAGGATCCGAACCATGTGATCGTTGATCCGAACCGACGACATCGCTGCCTTGGGCCCGAAATCCGTGACGCTACCAACTGAGCCACCGACTCACCAATCATCAGCAGAAAAAGGAAAACCACAATTATCGTGTAATTTAAATTTTGAATAAATAATAGAATGTAATAATTTAAACAAATGTGACGATGTTTGATTCAATTCAATGTAGAATTAACTACACAGAAATTGATGAAACTAACAGGTTCGATAGATTTTTGTTTCCACCCTTATTTAAAGAAGATAAGGGTGGAACCCTTATTTTGTTATGATTTAAAGAAGAAGAAGAAGAAGAAGAAGAAAGAATAAAGTTGTTTTCTTCTTCATCATCACCCGGAAATAAACGGTTTAATCTTAAGTTTATTTTAATTTTAGTATAGACTGTTACTGACCGAATGCATTCACCATAAAAATATATTTGTAAAGAAAATGGTTAACGCGAGAGATTTCACTTTTTTATAATATAAATAACAGATAATTTGATTTCTGTTTGGTCAAAGAGACTGATCATAATTGCTCAAACAAACGTACACAAATGCTAGAATGAAAGATTATTTGACTCAACAAATAAAATAGTTCATTAAAAATACAGAATGAAAAACACGAGTTATTTGTGTGAGTGATTGGAGTTTGTGCTCAGATCATTATGGGAGGTGATTTCTGCAAGTGAAATCAAAGTGAGCCGCTGTGGAAAAGTTAAAGAGGTCTTCTAAGAGTCAATTGGATGATAATACCACCAAGAGTCACTCTATCCCAACTTAACACTTGAAAAGGAAAACAACGGAGACGCTTCAAGGACCACTCTCGATCTAGAATTTCAAAGGATTCCGATTCCAAAGTACTTTCATTTGGGAACGTATCTACTGAAAAACACGCTGATAGAAAAATAATGGCAGTAAAAATTCATCTCAAATTGCAAAAATTTCATCAAGAGGTCAAGAAGTGTATGGTGAAATTTGTATATTTTTATAGTACCCACCAAAAAAATACTGGTGGATGAAAACATCAGTTTATTAGGTAAAATAATCATTATACACCAAAAGCGTTTTCGAGGAATGAAAAAAACAACTTGTGAAAAACGCGTTCGAACTAAATACTTCGGAAAACCAAATTTTACACAATAACCCCATTCTCATAGTTTAAACATGCTTGTTCACAAACTCGTCCGAATAAACGTAAGTTTACACCTCTGGGTTCCTCAAAACAAAAAGTAAACCGATCTCAAGTCAAGGTCTAACCATGAGACCTACAGTATATGGGAAACTAGCAGAGTACCCGTCCTTCGTACGGGGTTGGCAAATAAGTATAAAGTGCTTATTGCAGTTATGCTCAAGCTTTGCTTTTGTAATGGGGAAGGACACGATTTGGTAAAATTAAATTTGTTTCTTTAAATTTACGCTATGCTATAGTGCTGTATAAAACATCTACCATAGCCATAATGATCTACCACTGCACCTAAATAATAGGAAAAAAATAATTATCAAATCACACAATATCACAAATTATTCATTAAATTAAAAAATGGACATAACTGTATTCATTAAATAAATTAAAACATAAACATGACTGTAAACAATCCTACTTTGAAGGTTCACATGGAGTAGCACAGCATTTTGTTGCTGCTTAGTTCAAATTAGCTGTTGTCATAAATGCAAAAAAAATTATAGTGCTGCACCCTGTTGGTAAATCTTATAACTTTTAATGCTTTTGCATATCATAGAAACATTTTTTAGTTGAAACAGCTGACTAAAATCTTTTAATTCCTTTTAAATATGAATATAAGGTTAACATGAGGGAACAACAGAGCCACTGGGGCGGAGCCCGAAAGGAATTTTGAGATAAGAATAGGCCTATATGTTAATCGGGAATGTAAGCTATCATCATGCCAAATTTCAGCCCAATCCGTCCAGTGGTTATTGCGTGATTGAACTTCAAACAAACAAACAAACAAACAAACAAACAAACAAACACACAAACTTTCACATTTATTATATTATATATAGTATGATTTGTTAAAACCCTAGAAAACTGGATACAGACGAATATTAATTTTTAATACATTCCTCTACACAAATCAACAGATCAATATTGACATGTAGGAAGTGATAGATAGGTCCATATATGAACTAAGCGTCCATTCTGTTACATCAAGCTGTGCGGTTGTGGTGGACCCATAATTAACTAGGGGTTTGTTTGTGTCTAGTTTAGTCACCAAAATGCGGGGAAGCACCATTGTGGCCTTTTAGTTGAGCTTTGATTTGTAATTGTATAGAGTTGACGTTTTTTATTTGTTCCTAATTTACCGCGTTTGGAAATACAGAGTTTCGGCACAAGTACAAAGGGTTGTTTTTTAATTTAATTTTTAGATAAATTATTTTAAAGTTCAAATGTATTAAATTGCTTAAAAAGGTTCATAGTAGGGATTAAAAATGTACGTTCCAACATAGTTTGCTTCGAAATGTCCAATACAAACATAATTTTGCACGGGTCAAAAAATAACTGTCATTTTAGGTGGTTTTACTGTACTAATAAGCCCATCTCTTCCCAGCAACTAACGTTAATTTTAGAAAATTTTGTTGAATGATTAACATGTAATTAACATTATCTCTAATTTATTAAACCTATTAAATGCACTTTGCATTGTCTCGACTTAATATTTGCAGTAACTTGTGTATATACAGTACTACCACAGAGATAGGGTACTTTATTACTTATCTGTGATACAACGAGATGTTTTCCAATCTTATTTATTTTTTAAACACAATTTTCAAATGTTTCTGCCTTAGTTTTGCTCGTTTCTAACCTTACAAAGTTTAAAATCCATTCACCACCTATTTGTATATCGAACTCAATGTTTAGATCCACAGTTAGTGCTGGTGTATGATAACAAATTAAATACACGATTTCTAAACCAGGACACTCATTTGACAGTTTGTAAGTAAAATGCACACACACACACACACTACGACACGTTTTATCACACAATTAACAATGTTAACAATGTCACATAATTAAATCAATTCTGGAATTTTCATGTAAACGTATTTGTTACGAACAATCTAAATAAAATATAACTATTGACTCATAATAGTAGAATACTTTGGTGAAAATTGGGTGGAAAAGAATGAAAAGCCAGGCTAATAACTGGTCTTAGCAAGTCTAGCGACTGAAGTACAAACAGACAAAGTTCTCTGTTGATAAAGTGATTCGTTTACACAGATGACGATTGCTCTGTTGTATACGGTCATTGAAAACGTTTTCGTTTTCATTTCTTTGATAATGCCTTCAGGATGAATGGTTTTTTTGGCTGTATTAGAGATTCCGTTAGTAAATAACTGTTTTGGTTTGTTATCTTTTTTCGCTGATAACAGATAATTGTGTAACCTAACGTCGAACTAAAAACTTTAAAAGGATTATGAGTATTTTCGAGTTGGTGCAACAACAAAAATTTAGCCTATGCAACCCAACCTGCACTGAGCTAGGCTAACCTAGCTTAACTTAGACTAATTTTGATTGGACAATTTTCAATAGGAGCGACCCTCTTTTGTGTTTAAATGTGTTGAAACTTTTTATTGGGCGTTTTCAAAGGGCAGCACCACTATTAAATGTTGCCCCGTTCAAACGAAGGTAATGTAAACTTACCTAAAATTACCAATACATAGGGCAACCTATTAACCTAATACGTACATCGGGAAAATTTTGATAGTTGCATCCCTCTTCTTGAGAATAACCTATTAATATCTCATTGGGACGGTAAATTCTATGTAAATATTTTATTTCTCTTCTTTAATCTGATCGCTATGATCCTAATGGGTGACAATACTGTACTGCTTGTAGCACCTATTACTATACTACATCCACAAAGTTTAGGTTTTAGGGGTAGTAATCTATCCCCTCTACTATACCCCAAATCGTAAAAATAGCTCGAAAAAATAGCTCAAAAGCCGAGGTTTGTCAAAACATCGATCAGAAATAACATATTAAGCCAAAAAAGTAGTAGGGGAACTTCCCCTTCAAACCGCCTAGATTTTTTGAACAGACTTTAGTACAAAGAGGTATCCTTTATCCATTTATCCCCTCTACTATCCCCCCTTCAAAAAACCTCAACAGCTGAGGTCTGTCAAAACGTCAAGCAGTTGTAAAGCGAAAAAAGTAGTATGGCAACATCCCTTCAAACCGCCTAGATTTTTT